GGCAATCACCATGAAGTGATTGAACCAATGGTACACATCATCCCCAAGATTCCCGTGAAAAAACTCCGGCTGAACACAAGGATTGGCACCAAAAGCAGGAAGAGTTGTACCATGTGCCGTGAACACCACCATGAACTGAGTTTGATTGTTCAATTGCAAGCGCATAGCATCAAGCAATTGTACCAATTGTTGCTCTAGAGTCAAAGGAGGAGATTGTTGATCTACCATGAAGATGAATGAAAAAGAGCAAAAGAAGAGAAATGACAAAAAGCTAGAAGGAAATGGTAAATCTAAACAATGCAAAAAGTTATCTAAACCAAAATCCTGAAAGAGAAGAACAAAAGAAAGGAAATGGAAAAAGCTAGATCTAGACGATGCAAAAGTTAGATCTAAACCAAAATCCCAAATTCAAGCACTCCTCAGGGACAATCAAAAGTGCCCCTTACCTCCATTAATGTGAGTGCTTGGAATATGGAAAGGAAATACAAAAAATGTCCATATCAATTAGCCCAAAAACCCTAACTTGTATACAGGGGTAAGTAGTCCAAATTGAAACCAATCTGATGGCTACTAAACTCCCATTACGCTAATATTAGTATACGGCATTATAGCCGTACACTTGGCCCTCACAGTACATATTGGGCATCTATGCATATGTCCTTCCTTTTGGTGGAACATACATGGACGGAGCAAATGGCATGGGTTCGATTCTCATTGATTAGTGGCTATTTAAAATATAATATGCCCTTGAGCAAAGTATATTCCTACCCCTAAATTTAAAATCGTACATATTGAGCATTCATGTGTATGTCCTTCCTCTTGGTGGAGCATACACGGATCAAAGCATGACTAGTTGCCTCACAAAATAGCCATCTAAAAGGGGATAAGATGTGTGTAAAACTTGGATAACAAAATACCTTCTATTATAAGAGACTCTATCTAAACAAAAAGGTGAATAATAAAAGATATCTTGTTATAAACTACAACATAAATAAGAGACTCACACTACTCAACTTCCTTAACACACAATTTGATACTTAATAAAATCAATAGAATAGAAAAACTCCTCAATAAAATCACCATTGCCACTACCTCTTGAACCATCACTTTAAGAAGATTTTCCTCCCACCACCAATAACAATAACTCTGAAATCTCAAAACGAGGTACTTCACTTCAGAATTTTAATAAACTGGATACTCAGACAGTAATGGCTTGAGATGAGACAATGATGAGTCTCTAGATGCTTCAATCACTAGTTCACTACCGAGACACTCTTTTTAAAAAAAAAAAACCATTCTGCATTACTATGCATTCATGAACCAACAACTTTTTAGGTGAAGCATTTTGGGGACCATAACATTTTCATTGGTGAGGATGAGTATCTTGCTCAGCTGGAGAATGGTCCCTAGATGCTTGTTCAACCACGAGGTTTTGAGCGAGGCATCAATTATAGGGTAAGTGGGTACACAAGCTAATTACAAGGAGAAAAGTGAGATTAATTGATAGAAGGCAAGATTATTTGCAAAAGATTACAAACAATGAGTTGGAATTGATTATAATGAGATATTTCACCAATATTTAAAATGGTTTCTTTCCACTTTGTTCTTGCAACTGCTAATCATTTGAATCTTGAGGTTGAGCAGATGGATGTTAAAAATACATTCCTCAATAGCAAGCTAGAGGAACTAGTATATATGTGTCAACCTTCAATCCAAGGAAAGTAGTGTTATATTTGCAAAGTCCATCAATCTATTTAACAATCACTAAGAATTGGAATTTATATTATTGTTTTTCAGATGATTCTCGTGTGTGTTTATGTCAACAATCTTATCATGGTTGGAAAGACAACAAGTCTATATTGGCTTAAAGAACAGCTTTCCAACAGCTTTGAATGACCTTCTGTTAGGCTTGTAAATAGTGCGTGATAGGGAAAGTTGAATTCTAAAGAGTCATCAACATAAGTATATTTCAAATCTTATCAGGAAATACAGTTATTTTTTCACTACATGACCAGCTCTGACTCCAGTACTACAATTCAACAAACTCTCCAGAGCCAATCAACCATGTTCCTCCCAAGGGGGAGAGGAAAGAGATGGCTATGCTACCATATCAAAATATGGTTGGAGCATTGATGCATTTAGCCACATCAAGCAGATTGGACATAGTTTCCAGAGTGTCCCAGTTCATGCAGAATCCTGGGAAGAGACATTGGTATGCAGTGGTAAATATGTAAGTCAAACTTACAAGAGAAATTGGATTGGATATGGAATGGTAGATGCTAACCTCGCTGATGACCTAGATGGTCGGAGACAACAGCTGGGTATAAGTTTAAATTTTCTAATGCAGTTGTATCATGGCACAGCCAGAAATAGAGAATGGTGGCATTGTCCACTTGTGAAGCAGTTGTTACAGAAGCTGTCAAGGAAGCTTTATGGATTCGATACTTGTTCTAGGACATCAGTTTAGCTGCAAGCAACACTAAACGTTTACAACAATAACACAGCATGTCTTCAATCTATCACGAACCAGTGCGTCATGGGAGAAATAAACATTTCAAGATGTTCTACTACTTTATCAGGGAGAGGATCGAGAGAGAAGAGGTCAAGCTGAAATACATCTCCATGACATGACAGCGGATTTGCTCATGGAGCGTCTGCGACAACAACTCGGACTGATCTCACAGGGGGAGTAGCAATCTGATAAGAGACATCAGATTGAGGGGGAGTGTTGGAGCAAACAGCAGCAGATCAAGGAGAGATCAAGGCACAATCTAAGGAAACCAGAATGTGTATGTAAACCAGGTGAGGGTTGCATCAATACACAAGTAGCTTTTTCCCATTTATGCTGTGTCCATCAGGCCATCTGGGATGGGCATTGCTAGCTCAGGAGCATTACCGTCTCATGCTCAGTGGGAGCCCTGGTCTACAACAATGCATGGACTTGGAGGTCATACATGTCCACCCATGGGTGTTGCGGCTCTCATTTTTTAAAACTGCTCATATAGAGTTGCATAGGCACTATTAGCTCCAACTTGGAGTGCTGCCCATGTATGTACTGTTGATATGTAAATCAAGTGTATGGGGGAACATGGATCAGTCCTAGCTTGGACTATTTGCCCACCAGGTGGCACAAAAGCTAGAAGGCCTTCGGACGTTTTCATGAACTGTGAACCACATCCTAACTCAAGGTGTCAGCCGAGTGCTATAATCAAGCAAGCTTGCATTGGCTCCTAGGCCTCTCTCACCTGGAGATGCCTCACACGACAGTATGAAACCCTTCCATTCTCTCATGCTGGGACACCACTAACTCGAGTAACTAAGAGATGCCAACTTCTCTCACACACTTGATCACGAGTTACACAAAGATTCCAACAGATCTAAGAGCCTAGTTTTGATTGTGCAAATCCAAAACCCTAGGCCAGGATCACAATTCCCCAACACACCACGAACGGTATGCCATCCATGCTCCACAAGCTGCAAGCTCCGTGTGGTTGATGTCCCTATACACACTTTTTCTCTTGCTCTTTTACACTCACATTCCCTTTCAATCCACACATAAACCATTTCACGCATCACACGTCCAAGTTCCTCAACTAACTGGTTCCTGTGCTCTTGATGGCCAAGAAACCGGCAAGGCCTAGGATACCCGGCCATAGAAATGTGAGTGGAAGTGGACCCGTACGTCCGTTCTGTTCCAAAGACTTTGTAGAGTTTACAAAGCCGCGTAAAGGATGAAACCCTAGGCGGGGTCATGGATGAGCCGAGCCCTACGATCATCACGATTCCTCAGCACGCTCGCCAATCCAAGCGTGGACACGCTCATCGATCGCCTGGAGCAGGGCAGCATCGATCCAAGCTACACCACCCTCGCCGGGCTCCTGGGATCTTGCGCAAATCCCTCGCAGGTCAATCGCGTCCACCGCATTGCCACCAAAGATCGTCATGGCATCAATCCGTTCCTTGGAAATCAGCTCCTCCAGATCTACGTCAAGATGGGCGACGTCGATTCCGCCGCTCGGATCTTCCCCTCCCCTGCCGCCTGGAGCGTCGTCTCGTGGACTTGCCTCGTCGCAGCATTTGCCCGCTATGGGCATTTCTCCAGAGCAAATGCCCTCTTTCGCGAAATGCTGCTCCACGGCGCTACGCCGGACAAGATCGCGCTCCTGGCCGTGATCCAGCTCCTCCAGCACCCCCGCGATCTTGAATTCGCGAGAACGCTCCAGGGATGGATCCACGAGGCCGGGCTCTCCACCGATCTCGTCCTGGGCAACGCGCTCATCGCCGGATACTCACGGTGCCAGAGCCTGATCGATGCGACGCGGGCGTTCCATCGAATCGCCCGCAAGGACACGATCTCCTGGAACTCGATCATCGCCGCGCACGTCTCCTCGCACCTCTTGCCCGCCGCCACGACGATCTTCCACACGATGCAGCACGAATCCAGCTCCAGGCCCGACGCTGGCACTCTCATGGCGATCATCGCGACGTTCGTGGCTCCGGTGGATCTTCCCCGCCTCGAGCGATTCCACCGCGTCATGATCCACGACGAGCTCTTGCGATCGGACACCATCCTCGCCACCGCGCTCCTCACAGCCTATGCCAGGAGCTGTGGCAGCCTCGCCGGCGCTCGCGATGTCTTCCGCAAGATCGATCGCTTGGATCTCGTATCGATCAATTCCATGATCGCGGCATTCGCTCACCACCACCGCCCGCGTGAGGCGATCGAGCTCTTCCACCGGATCTCCCCGGAGCTGGGCGTGCCCCCGGACAAGGTCAGCTTCCTCAACACGCTGGGATCCATCGCGAGCGCTGAGCAGCCCCAGCTCCTGGGCGATGGATTCATCCTCCACACCATCGCGAGATCCTCCGGTCATGGATCCGACCTCGCCATCGCCACCGCGCTGGTGGACATGTACGCCAAGTGTGGCGATCTCGCCGCCGCTCGAGCGGTCTTCGATTCCATCCAGCTCCATCGCCGGGATCTCATCGCCTGGAACGCGATGCTCTCGGGCTACTCTCGCGCCGAGCGATTCGCCGAGACGATGGAGATCTTCCATGCGATGAGGGCCGCGATCGGCGACGAGCTCCTGCCGACGAGGGTCTCGATCGCTGCCGCGCTCACTGCTTGCGCAAATCTGCTCGATCTGGAGTCCGGGGTGGAGATCCACGCGCTGGCAGCGCGATCCGGGGTGGAGGCCGATGTGGGCGGTCTCTTGATCCACATGTACGCCGCCTGTGGAGATCTGGATGCTGCCAATCGGGTCTTCGATGTCGCCATGGGCGGAGCTTCGATCAATCGCGACTTGAGCTCCTGGAACTCGATGATCACGGCCTATACCGATAGGAATCTCTGGGAGGAAGCGCTCTCTCTCGTCCACCAGATGCACCACCAGGGCATGGCCTTCGACGACATAAGCTTCGTGACCGCTCTCAACGCCTGTGCCGCCGCGGGATACCGTGGGATACCGCACGGTACATCCGTACACCTCTGCGTCGCCGAGGCCGGGCGGGAAGAGGACGTGATCATCCGCACGGCGCTGCTCAACATGTACGGCAAGTGCCGCGACCTGTGCCGCGCGGACGCCGTGTTTGACGCGCTGCGGCGCTCCGGCCAGAGGCTGGATCTCATCGCGTGGAACGCGATGGGATCGGCTCTGGCCCAGCACGAGGAATTCGAGCGCGTTCTCACGCTCTACGGGGAAATGCTACTCGAGGGCGTGACGCCGGATGAGATCTCGTTCGTGAACGCCCTTACCGCCGCCGCCACTGCTGGTCGCGAGACGTTGGCGGCGGTGCACAGCCACGTCGTGCAGCGCGGCATGAATCGCGACGTCGTGGTGGCTACCGTACTCGTGGCTGCGTACGGCAGTGCCGCGGAGGTGAGCCGCGCGGAGGAGGCCTTCGCGGCGGTACCGCCGTACCGCCGCGACGTCGTGCTGTGGAACGCCATGATTGATGCCCATGGCGGCACGCCGCCGGCTCTCCGTACGTACGACTCCATGGACATCGCGCCGGACAAGCTTACCCTAGTTCTTGCGCTCAATGCGTGCGCGGGCATGGCGGAGCTCACCGCCGGGGAGAGAATCCACCGCAGGGCGACCGATCTCGGCTTCGATCGCGACGTCGGCGTGATCACAGCACTGATCCACATGTACGCGAGCTGCGGCCGGCTGGAGCAATCGCAGAAGATCTTCCACGGCGCTCAAGAACACACGATGTTCATGTGGAACGCGCTGGTGTCTGGATTCGCGCGGCGCGGCCAGTCGGAGCGAGCGATCGCGCTGTTCGAGCGGATGCAGCAGAGCGGGCACCGCGCGGACGCGATCGGCTTCGTGAGCATCCTCAGCGCTTGCAGCCAGGCGGGATTGATCGGTCGCGGGTGTGGATATTTCGCGTCGCTGCTCCACGATCACGGGATCTTGCCCTACCGCGAGCACTACGCTTGCATGATCGATCTCTTTGGGCGGGCGGGGCGGCTGGAGGAGGCGGAGGAGTGGCTCCGCAAGATGCCGGCGCACAAGCTGAGCAAGAGCGTGTGGGAGACGCTGCTCGGGGCGTGCTCCATCCACAGCGATGTCAAGCGCGGGCGGCGAGCGGCCGAGGAGCTCTTTGAGATGCAGTCCAGGAAATCGTCGCCCTACGTGATCATGGCCAAGCTCGCGATGCTTTCGTCGAATCGGGGCGAGTCGTGAGCTCGGACGGATCGAATCGTGAGCTCGGATCGATCGATCGATGGAAATTTTGGAGGGGTTAAGCTTTGGAGGGAGCATATTCTCGGATCTAACACGCTCGGAAATCGTGGCGGCATTTTCATCGTCCGATGGGAATTTGGATCCAAGAACTCTCGCGCGCTCTTGCCTTCATTCTTCCTTTGCTAACGCGATTTTAGGGTTTATCGGAATGAAGCGCTTGGCGCCCAGCGATGGATTTGAGACCAGCCACTCCACGGCGAGCAGTGACGGGCGGAGATCTATCTATGGTACGCTCCTGGTTTTGTGATTTCGAGAATGTGAGAGAATGCGAGGTCTTTGTAGATCGGACGCTGCAAAAGCTCTGGGCGGGAATGCAGAGTTTCCAATTCAATCTCAAGAACACAATAATGGAAGTACCAGCTCCAGATTTTTTGGGCAGTGATCAATGCTTTCGCTGCAAGTAAGGAAGATTTTCCCCTTCCTTTTTCCCTTTCGATGCTTTACTTCTTATTTTTTCTTCTCAGGAAGTTTTTGAATGGTTTGATTACTTGCGAGGGATGTGCGGAAGGATTTTGCTCCTTTTGCTCCATAACCAGGTCGGAGATTCTTTCTTTTCTCTCGTGATTTTTTCTATAATGTTACTACAGTTTCGAAGAGCAAAATGATAGAACCTTTTGCATGGATTGCAATGCGAATGATCTCGATGGTAGGCGAAAGCTTGCTCGTCAACAACGCTCCGTTTCTAAGGTATGCGTAAAGTCTCCCGGGCCGAGTTGAGAACATCCTTTTCTAGCCTGTGAAAAAAAAGGTTTTAATCCTTTAAGCCTTTTTCGTTATATAATAGGTGTTTCCGTCACCTTAGGTCGCTAGAAAGGTTTGGCCATGGCCTCGTCTTCGACCGGAGGCGAGCAGCCTGCAAAAAAAGTAGCTCTACATCGACTTGTGGTCGATGATGCAATCCTCCATGACGATAATTCGATCGTAACTCTTCACCCTGATCGGATTCAAGCTCTCAATCTCACGCCAGGCGATACCGTTCTCGTCAAGGTGAGTGATAGTCTTAATTCCTTTACTGTAGGATGCTAATCCTATTATGAATGAGCAGGGGAAGAGGAGGAGAGATACTGTCCTCATCCTTCTTGCAGACGAACATTGCGAGGAATTCAAGGTGAGGATCAACAAGGTCGTCCGGGTGAACCTGAGAGTCAAGCTCGGAGAAGTCGTCTCGATCCACCAGATCCAAGAAGTGAAATACGCGAAGAAGGTTCATGTTCTTCCTCTGGATGACACCATCGAGGGCCTCACAGGAAATCTCTTCGATTCTTTTCTCAAAGGTAAGTCCACGGTTCTATCAAGCGTTTGCACTAACTTTCTTTTTGTGATCAAAGATTACTTCACTGAATGCTTCCGGCCATTGAGAAAAGGTGACCTCTTTTTGGTCCGTGGAGCGATGCGAGCAGTGGAGTTTAAGGTGGTGGAAATCGATCCTCCGGGAGAGTATTGCTATGTCTCTGCAGACACCGAGATCTTCTGCGAAGGAGAGCCGGTCAGGCGAGAGGACGAAGAGAACAAGCTCAATGAGATTGGTTACGAAGACATAGGTGGAGTTCGCAAGCAACTTGCTCTGATCCGCGAGGCTGTCGAGCTTCCACTGAGGCACCCAACGCTCTTTCGAACGATTGGAGTGAAACCACCGCGAGGAATCTTGCTCTTTGGGCCTCCAGGGACTGGAAAAACGATGATTGCCAGAGCAGTCGCCAACGAGACTGGAGCCTTCTTCACAGTCATCAACGGACCCGAGATTATGTCCAAGCTGAACGGTGAAAGTGAGAGCAATCTTCGCAAGGCGTTTGCAGAGGCCGAGAGAAACGCTCCCTCGATCATCTTCATAGACGAGGTGGACTCCATTGCTCCAAAGCGAGAGCAAGCTCACGGAGAGGTGGAGCGAAGGATCGTCTCACAGCTCCTGACGCTCATGGACGGATTGAAAACGCGCTCGAACGTTGTCGTCATGGCAGCGACGAACCGGCCGAATAGCATCGACCCCGCTTTGCGAAGATTTGGAAGGTTCGATCGAGAGATTGATATCGGTGTCCCGGACGGAGTTGGCAGGCTAGAGATACTTCGAGTTCATACCAAGAACATGAAACTATCCGACGATGTAAGTTCTCCTCGAAGGTTTCTGCCAACTTACTCTTCTGTCGTTGTTTTAGGTGGACTTGGAATCTGTCTCCCAAAATTTGCACGGTTTTGTTGGGGCGGACTTGGCATCACTTTGCTCTGAGGCTGCCATGAACTGCATTCGTAAGAAAATGGACATCATCGACTTGGAGGCCGAGACCATCGACGCTGAGATTCTGAACCTGATGGCCGTCGACAAGGACGATTTCCAGCTCGCATCTGGCGTCAGCAATCCATCAGCGCTCCGAGAAACAGTCAGTATAGATCTCCTTACCCAATGGTTTCTAACAATTGGTTATTTTTCCGCAGCTCGTGGAAGTTCCAGACGTTTCTTGGGAAGATATCGGCGGCCTGGAGTCAGTGAAGCGAGAACTCGAGGAGACAATCCAGTATCCGATCGAGTTCCCCCACATGTTCGAGAAGTTTGGCATGTCACCGTCGAAAGGAGTTCTCTTCTACGGCCCACCCGGCTGCGGCAAAACTCTCCTCGCTAAAGCCGTGGCGACGATGATCCACTGCAACTTCATCACCATCAAGGGACCGGAGCTTCTCTCAAAGTACCTCGGCGAGAGCGAGGGCAACGTGAGGGAGGTGTTTGACAAGGCCCGGGCGTCAGCGCCGTGCGTCCTCTTCTTCGACGAGCTCGACTCCATCGCCATACAGCGCGGTATCTCGGCCAATGACGCCGGCGGTGCCGTGGACCGTGTCCTCAACCAGCTGCTCATCGAGATGGACGGTCTTACTGCCAAGAAGACGGTGTTTATCATCGGTGCTACCAACAGGCCGGACATCCTCGACTCGGCCTTGCTCCGGCCTGGACGATTGGACCAACTTATCTACATTCCTCTCCCGGACGAGCCTTCTCGGCTCAAGATCTTCCAGGCGTGCTTGAGAAAGACTCCGCTGTCAATGGACGTGGATCTGGCTGCTCTTGCGAGGCACACGCCAGGATTTAGCGGGGCTGATATCACCGAGATTTGCCAGCGAGCTTGCAAGTTTGCGATCCGAGAGGATATCGAGAAGGTACTTCAAAGTTGTTTTTTTTTTGTAGCTGGCTTGAGCTTAAACTCTCTTTGTTCCTTTCAGGACATGAAGAAAGCTGCTGAGAATGGTGGCGAAGACATGATGGACGAGGACAATGCGGTGGCTTATGTTGAGCTGAGGCATTTCGAGGAATCGATGAGGTTTGCTCGGCGGAGTGTGAGCGACGCGGATGTTCGCAAGTACAAGGCTTTTTCGCAGAGCCTCCACCAGTCTCGAGGATTTGGAGAGTTTAAGTTTCCAGGAGCCAAGCACCAGATGCTCGATCAAAATGATACTGCCCAAATGCCCGATGGAGATTTGTATGCTTAAGAACAATGATATATTTATTAATATTGATTAATTATTACTATTATGTTTATTATTCACCTTTTATTTTATTTTCCTTTAATGTTGGGACAGGAAAAAATACAAAAAAAATTTTTGTCAGTTCTTAAGATTCCAGTACCCCACCGCTCACAGTGGAATGCGATTATTATTCCATATCTCTCTGGATAAGAATCCAGTAAAACATTTTAATAGTGGGAGTATTTCCAATTTATTATCGCAAAGCATGATGCTGCTAGACTGGACCCTGCAATGTGATGGATTGAAATTTATCGATGCTGTGTCATTCGAGCTTTCCAGTTTGCTTCCCAGAGTGTCCCATCCAGTTTTTGGAGATTTTTTTTAAGGCTGTGGCCGCCCTTTCTTTGTGAGCAGTAGCCAAACTATCATGACGACGATTGGCGAGCTCTTTACGCTGTTTATAATTCAATTGTTTTGGATATTTAATCAAAAGGAATTCATAGGAAAAGTTTGAGATGCTTGCACAAGGGGTTTAAACCGTAACACTAAACACAGATGCTGCTGGTGCTTTAGGTGCTGCTGGTGCTGCTTCTTCAACTGCTGCTGGTGGATCTTCCAAGCTCAGCTCTTTGGTTTTCTCCTCCAGCTCAGGTGTAGCAGCTGGAGGAGCAGCTTCTTCACTTGGAACTTCAGGAGCAGCCACTTCTTTTGCAGCTGGAGCTGATGCTTCCTCAGCTGACGGAGCCACTTTCTCAGCTGGAGGCACTTCTTCAGCTGGAGTTGGAGTTGGAGTTGCTACTTCTTCAGCTGGAGCTGGAGTTGGAGTTGGGGGAGGAACGTCCTTTACCTAGACAATAAAAATAAGTTCAAAGAGCAGCAAAAGAGGAAACATGTTGTTAAACGATGTCAAGAATCTTAAAACCAGTCAAGCAGCTCAACAATGATCAGGGGAGTATATCAGGGGATATTCGGTTCCAGGTCAGTCTCTCTCGAGTTAGAGTCATTTATCTTCCTGTTTCTTTGGAACGATGGTCGATCCACCAAGAACTGATTGAGATCGGGGCCAGATCCAGAGAGTTGGGAGCCAAGGAAGTAAAAGGGAGGAATGAATCGAAAGAATCAAACAGAGCTCTCGAGCAAAAGAAGAGGAAGATCATCTCACTCTCATTCTCACAGATCTGTGCTTGCCTCTTCAGAGCTCATTGTCAAAACTCTGGGATGGATCGATGGATCGGCGAGGAGAGCGAGCGAAGAAGCGAGCGAGGAAGAACCAAGAGAAAACGCTGCCCCTGTGTAGTGAACATACATGATAGAGATTTATATACAAGCAGCAAAAACCCAGGCAGTAAAAACTCGAGGTGAAAACCCGGGGTAAAAACTCACCAGCCGGTTACCATTCACGTAAGGTTAAGCGGTCCTTTCGGGAATGGGCGGTGACCTGTTTTTCCCAAAAGCTGGAATCTCCAGCAAAAAGCCCCGTCCCAATCCCTATATTTTATTTCCAGCCAAGTCTTGCCGCCATTGTGGGCCACGTGTCAGTACAGTGAATGGACTACAGCGCTGTATGATGACGCCACGTGGGTACCCATGTGGGCACCCACCTGGCATAATGTCTAGCTGGCTTTCAGCTTACGTGTCATAATGTAGGGTTCTTGGTGGAGGGACTCTTTTCTCCAAGCTCGATCGCCATTGGAATCCCTTCGTCAGTAAGATATTTCTCATTCTTGACAAGATCGCTGGAATCTGTGACGTAATCCATCGTTTCTTGCTGGATCTCTATCTCTTCTACTCTCTTATCTCTTTGTGAAATCTTTTGAATCTCGGATCTCTCTCGAAATATCTTTCGATTTCTATCCATCTCTGGATCTATTGGATTCTTGCATTGATCTCTTAGCAGTCTTGCGTGAAATCTCTTGAATCTCTATCCAATCCCTCTCGAAATATCGCTCAATCTTATCCACCTCCGTCTTGGATTCCAATGCCGTGCTCCTCCTTGAGGCATCCATCCGCCATCAATCCTCTCAGCGCCTCGCCATCTCCCCGGCGGTCAGAAGCAGCGTAAGTGCTCGAGAGAGCGATGACAGCCGCGGTAGTCTTCTCATCCAGGCCGAGAATCTGCGCTGCCGCTCTCTGCCCGCGACTGATATCCTCGTACGCCTTGCAGCCCGCCAGGAACGCCATCCACACCGCCGGGGTGGGCTTAAACGGCATGGAATCGATCACACACTCGGCCTCCTCCAGCCGCCCCGCCCGAGCGAGCAGATCCACAATGCACCCACAGTGCTCCAGCGTCAGCTCGATCCCCTCCCGGTGATCCTTCCGCAACCTCGTCACGAACTCTTTCCCGAGATCCACCAGCCCGGCATGGCTGCAAGCCGCGACGACGCTGACGAAAGTCACGTCCACCGGCCTCACTCCCTCGAGCTGCATGGCACAAAAGAGCCTGGCGGCGCTGGATCCGTCACCATTCTGGGCAGTCGCGGCGATGATCGACGTCCACGAAACCACGTCCGGCTGCTCCAGCTCTCCAAAGATCCTGGCCGCCACCTCGAGGCTCCCACACTTCCCATACATGTCGAGCAGCGCCGTGGCCACCATCGAGCTCGATCTCTCCAGCTGATAGCCAATGACGCAGTCGTGGATCCATCGCCCTTCCTTGATCGCGCTCGCGCCCGCGCAAGCATTCACCACCGTGATCAAGGTAACTTCGTTCGCTCTCACGCCCTCTAGCAGCATCTCCCGGAAGAGCTGGACGCATCGCTTGATCCGCCCAAACTCCGCAAACGCCGAGATCATTGTCGTCCACGAGACGTGATCCCGCCTCTCCTTTATCTCCACGAACGTCCGGTACGCTTCTTTCAAGCTCCCACACCTCGCGTAGGCTCTGATGATCGCGTTGCTCACAGCAGTGTCGGAGTCGCAGCCACCCCGGATGATACACCCGTGGATCCACCGCGCGGTCGCGGCGCTGGAGCAAGCATTGATCACGGTGATGAACGCGATCGAGTCGGGCTCCACACCGTCGTCCTCCATGTCCCGGAACAGCCGCAGCGCGTCGTCGTGCCGCCCGGCCCTCACCATCGCCGCCATCATGGCTGTCCACGAGACCGCGTTCCTCACGGGCATCCTCTCGAAGAGCTCGCTGGCGGTCTCGAATCGCCCGGCCTTGGCATACATGTTGAGGATCGCGTTGCAAACCGGGACGTCGGATCGAAGCCCACTGGCAAAAGCACGCTCGTGGATCGCCGCTCCCTCGTCCGGATCATCGCACCAGGCCAGCAGCTCGAGGAGAGTGATCCGGTTCGGCCGCGTCCCCTGGAGCTGCATCCTCCGGAAGAGACCCATCGCGGCTGGAAAGTCCCCGGCCCTGGCATTTGCTGCGATGATCGAGGTCCACGACACCACGTCCCTGTGATCCATGGCTTCGAAAACCCGAGTAGCGTCGGCGAGGCTGGAGCACGCCGCGTACATCTTCATCAGCGCGTTCGCCACCACCAGGTCGGTATCATAGCCCGTCTCTTGGATCCTGACGTGAATTCTCCTTCCCTGTTCCAGATCCTGGATCGCGCCCAGCACCGCCACGTACGTGATCTTGTCCGGGAGGACGTGGTTTCTCTCCATCTCTGCGAAGAACTGGATCGCCCGCGAGAAGTCTCCATGCTTGGCGTAGCCCGTGATCATGGCTGTCCAGATCACCACCCCGGTTTTCTTCGTGGTGGCGGCGAAGGAATCTTGAGCGTCGGCCATGCTGCCCAGGCGGACGAAGGTCTGGACGATGTGCCTTGCCAGCGATGGATGGTGGTCGAGGAGATTGTCGCGGGTGGCGTACTGGCGGATCCGGCGGGCGTCCGCCAGTGTCCCGCAGCCGCGGAGGAGGTCCGAGTAGAGCGCTGGGCTGCCGGAGATGGATCCATTGTCGAGAGCCGCTAGAGTTTCCTGGACCGCATTGATGGTGGTGGTGTAGCTTCTTTTGCTTGGCCAGTGGAGCTTCATTCCTTGAGGAAGAGTAGCCGCGGCATTATCAATCGATATCCTCCTCTCTGGAAAGAAAATAGGAGTGCTGTAAGTAAACACGATGAAGAGGAACATCAACCTCTCTCTATATACTCTCACTTGTCCCCCCAACAAACCAAAATAAGGCATAGCAATGGAATGCGAAGCTCGACTCACTGGTCAAAGAATCGCTTCATGCTCTGCAAGTGTCCCTCAAAAACGAGCTTCATGTGACTAATAGCGATCTCATTCTATTGAAGAATGGAAACTAAGTTCTTGCCTGGGATCTTTAGCTTTAGATGGGATTAAATGCCGGCTATCTTTTGGGAGATTTCTAATCAGTCCATTCCTGAGGAGAGAAGAAAAAAAGAAACTGTAAATGAATGTACCCCAAAAAGTGATTGCCTACCGGATCAAATCAAATGCCGGAGTTGCTGGTTCTCCTTTCGAAGCGCTTGAAGTTCCTCCATCATTTCAGCTTGCTTCGAGACTAGCTTTTCCACACAGCACGCCGTCTCCGTCTGCCAAAGGTAAAAGGAAATCATGGAAACAAAGTAAGAAAAAAAGTTAGAGTATCAACGAAGTAACAACCTGTTGGATGTGAAACTGGCGTATGAGCTCTAGGTGAAGGTTTTGCACGTCCTCGTGTATGGCTCGCTGGACGGAGCCAAGGCTCTCCTCCAGAGCACGTTGCACAAGCTGGAGCGCGAACGAAGACGAGGACGGCTGTGGAGGTGAAACTCTTGAGGGAGGAGAGTTTGGTGACGACGCCGAGAGCCTTGGAGGAAGTTCTAGAGCCAAGCCTTTAACAGCCGCCAGATGCTCTCTAGCTTTGGTGAGTCGAGTTTGATGATCGTTTGGAGACGGTTCTGCTGCATTGCTAGCCTCAACACGCGGAGACGTGGTAGGATGTTCGTCCTGTAGGAGGAACGTAAAAGTGAAACACACACAATGGAAGAGTAGTCAACTACTTACTTGATGCGAGGTTTGCTGGAATTCGTCTGAGTTTGCTATTGCCGAGGGAGGAGATGGCCTCTTTGTTTCGCCGAGTCCGTCAATGAACGAAGAGAGAGGTTGAACTATCGGTTGCACGTCCACGAGAGGAGAAAAAACCTCCATGTCGTCAACACCGCTCGGGGTAGCCTTCGACGAGTGAAGGATGAAAGAACCACTATTGGACCACACGCTCTGGTTTGATGATTCTTCTGCCGCTGCTGCATTCCTTGGATTTGCCACAGTCAGCGATTCAGGCCGTCCAAAAGAAGGTCGATTTCTTCCGGAAGCGGGAAGTGGATCAGGCATTATGGCCGGCGTCTCCTCTCCATTGGCACCGAGCAAAGCCACGTCAGGCGACCAGCTTGAGGTGCTTATTGGAACCGGGTTTGTCCGTTGCCAGCATACACTTGCAACAGCCTAAAGAAGTCAACAGTTACATAAGTTGAAAACGAATAGACCGTCGCACCTCAGATGGATTAAAAGCTCGAAGAACAGCCATGGGTTGGACTTTGGTACGGATGTCATAGAACATAATTCTCCCATTTGTAGTACCGGCTGCGACAGTCCAACCATCGTCTTTCAATGCTAAAGAAGAGAATGGCGCATCGCAAGAAAGAGAGTGGACAGCCTTCTTTACGCTGGTGTCGTAAGTATGCAATCTTTTATCAAAGCCCACGCTTACTATGACCTGGAAGGAGATCAGTCTCAGTCCATGACGACAAACTTCAACCTCATGCACACCTTTTCATTTGAAAATGAGAACCCGACACCGCTTGCAGGTGCCAGATGTTGTCGAATCCATGAGGCCTATCAACGATGAGCAAAGAATAAATTGGCTGAGAAGCATTAGATGAAGAAAGCGACTGACCGTACCTTTGGACTGCGTCCAGTAGTGTCCCAAAGATGCAATGACCCATCGTCCCCAGCAGTAACCAGAAGATTTCGGCTCGATCGAGAATACTCCAAGAGTCTCAAAACCTGCTCCAAAGAAACTCAGCAATTCCCTGCCACGAAAAACGCTCATGATGACCAAAGAGATACTCTACGACCCGCTAGCATTGCAAAAACTCTTGCAGGATACGAGACGCCGAAGAAAAACTCACCTGATTGAAGGGATCCTTCACTTCGGTGATTCGAGACCCGGAAGCAAGGCTGTAGATGATGAGATCACCCCTGGAACTGATGGAAGCAAGGTGCTCGTCTTTGCAGTTATACATGACGCCAGTGATCGTGTCGGCGTGTCCCTTGAGCGATTTTATACACTTCTTCCTTTGCATGTCCCAGATTCGCACGACTTTCCCAGTTCCACCAGAGCAAAGATATCTCGATGACTTTGAGCTGAAGTTTATGGCCAGTATAGACTCCTGGAAGGCAAACGAAACACACAACAATCACGAGAAAGAAGAAAAAAATTCCAAGAAACACATACGTCTAGAACATCGGCTGGATCGGACTCTAGCTGCGGCACAGATCCTAAAAGCTTGCCTCCCTTGAGCCACAGCGAAATCCTGCGATCCTCCCCGGAGCTCGCCAGGACGTGATCTGGAAGCAAAGAAACATCGAAATATCACCAGGACGCGCAATGCAGGCAGCTAGAAGCCGCGGACTGAGATCTTACTGGTGTGATTCCATCGCAGAGCGTTAACCTGGACGCCGGGCGCCGGGAGGAACTGCGAGACGCAAGGATCCGCCCGGCCCTCGCTCGCGGCAGCGGCATCAAAGAGCTTCACATTGTCGCCCCCACACGCCGCGATCAGCCGCTGCTGCATCGCCGCCTCGCGGATCTTCATCCACTTCGAAAAATCCCTCTCGCAACACTGGGAGAGAATAAGGGCTCCCGTTAAGAACCAAAAACTATTTCCACCACCCCAGGAATCGAGCCTGAGACGTCCAAGAAGATAGACAAAGGAATCGAACCCAAGACGCGTTGGGACTTGGACATTTCTCTCACGTTACTTCTTTTTGCCCGCTTTGCCTTCTTTCCTCCTGATAACTTCGTCCGCGTATTTGATCCCTTTCCCCTTGTAAGGCTCTGGAGGTCTCCACGATCTTATGATCGCCGCGAACTGGCCCACGGCGCACTTGTCTCTCCCCGAGACTGTGATGCGAGTGTTTTCTTCGACTTTGACGCTGATACCATCCGGGATCTTGATCTTCACCGGGTGCGAGAAGCCGACGTTGAGGATGATCTCGGTGGGCTCGACCGTGGCACGGTAGCCGACCCCGACCATCTGGAGTTTCTTCTCGAAGCCTTGAGAGACGCCAACGACCATGTTGTCTGTGAGTGTTCTGGAGAAGGACAAAACTTAGAAAGATGAGAGATGTCCAATGCAAATGCGAGAACATCTAGATCTTAGAGCTGAGAAGCAAAAGAACTCGAAATCGGGAAAAAAAAAAAAAAAAACTGGAGACATCAATGCAGCTAGAAAGTTCTAACGATTAAGAATGCCTGGAAACAGGCAAGCTATGAAAGGAAAGAGTTTTGGAAAACTTGGAAAGATGAAAGATGTCCAATGCAAATGCCAGAACATCTAGATCTTAGAGCTGAGAAGCAAAAGAACTTGAAATCGGGAAAAAAAAAAAAAACAAAAAAAAAACTGGAGACATTCAATGCAGCTAGAAAGTTCTAACGATTAAGAAATGCCTGGAAACAGGCAAGCTATGAAAGGAAAAAGAGTTTTGGAAAACTTGGAAAGATGAAAGATGTCCAATGCAAATGCCAGAACAAATGCTGGATCTAGAACTTAGAGCTCGAAAGTGCGAGATGCTAGAACTCGAATCGAGGAGAAACTGGAGAACTTCAATCCAGCAAGAAAGTTTTAACAAAAACTAGAACTCGAAATCGTGGAAAAACTGGAAAACTTCAATGCAGCTAGAAAGTTCTAACAAAAACTAGAGCTCGAATCGAGGAGAAACTGGAGAACTTCAATGCAGCTAGAAAGTTTTAACAAAAACTAGAACTCGAAATCGTTGAAAAACTGGAAAACTTCAATGCAGCTAGAAAGTTCTAACAGAAAATAGAACTCGAAATCGTGGAAAAACTGGAAAACTTCAATGCAGCTAGAAAGTTCTAACAAAAACTGAGGAGAAACTGGAGAACTTCATGCAGCTAGAAAGTTCTAACAAAAACTAGAACCCGAGATCGTGGAAAAACTGGAAAACTTCAATGCAGCTAGAAAGTTCTAACAAAAACTAGAGATCGTGGAGAAACTAGAGAACTTCAATGCAGCTAGAAAGTTCTAACAAGAAAAACCAAGAACAATTGGAAACAGGAAGCTATGAAAGAAAAAAAAGAGCTTTGGAGAGAACCTGAAAAGGCCGTGCATTTGGCGAGCGCGCCGAGTTTCCAGAGCCCTGGTGACGACAATCCTCCCAGACTCATCCCTGGTGAGGCTGACCTCTCGCGGATAGTAGCGTGTCAGCTCTCCCAGCGGGCCCTTGACGGATAGATTCGGGCCTTGGAGCACCACATTCACCGATTTCGGCACCTCAACCGGCCTCTTCCCGATCCTGGATTCCTTGCAAATCACTCTCAAAGGAAGATTGCCGCTGGCGCTGCTGCTGCTACTGCAAATACTGGTGCCCAAAGTCTCGCCGGAGAAATTACTCCGCAGGCCACTGCAGTGGACAGCCGCATTGCAAATCCGGGAGCTTGGAAGGCGAAAATCTTACCTCAGTGACAAGGCGCAGGATATTGCCGCCATGGCCGCGTCAAGAGCCCTAAATTTTCAAAGCGAAAGCTTTGCTTAAGAAATTTTTCTCCCAGCGAGGTTTGAACTCGCGACCTTTGCCTCATAAGACCAACGCTGAGCTAAAGGGAGCTTACCACTATAACCGCAATCCATAACCAACGTTGCCATGGAGTAAAAACGCCGAGAAGAAGGCCTAGTAGCGATGTCTGAGGAAGTTCCAGAGGTTAAAATCGACGTAAGTTTGCCACATTCTTCTGTTTAATCCTTTGTCCCCAAAGACAAACTTTCTTCCAGCCGAGGTTTCTTCCAGACGAGATCAATGGTATCATCAAAGACGCGCTGGATCAATCGCTCGGAAGCAACCAGTTTAGGCACGACAAGGTTCGCAACAAGCTCCCCAACTTTCTCGGACGGATCCAAACTCCATCCAAGAAAAAGTTTTTCCAACTTTCTTGGAGGCATCACTGATCCAAAACACAAAAGGTGACGGATTGGACAACCAGCGTTTGCGAAGTTTGTCTCAACAATCTTGTCAAGCTTGACAAGCCCTTCAAATATGCCGGTGAGTAGAGAGACGAGCAAAATCTCCCCTCCTGATTAGCCACTAATCACCCACATTCTCTCCTTGTTTAAGTGACGTGCTTGATAATGCAGAAGAACGGTGCGGGGATGGTCACCGCCACATCCTGCTTCTGGGATACCGCGGCCGATGGTAGGCATATTCCTCGAATCTTTCCCGAATTGAACACACCCGTCCGTACAGGGAGCAAAACCATACGGTGGGAGAACAAAACCATGTACTGCATTGTCACAGTTTTTGGCCTCCAGATCTAAAATGTAAATACCATGTTACCATGGTAGTGAATATATTAGGACTATACCAACTATTTAAATTGGTATATGCTTACTTGAGAAGAAACTCGAGTTAGTGTGATTTTACTTTTGCGAGTAGAGATTAGCAAGCATTACCATCGCCCTTCCATCGCCCGGATCAAATTCGAGGGCGATCTTGCTCGCCTCTCCTCCTCGCCGGATTTCTCTCTGGCTGCCGCAAGCGCCCACCAGGCACATCAATTCGATCCTGCTCGCCTCAAAGGGCATGCTCTCCGCGAGATCGATCGCGCTGTCCAGCCGACCCGATCGCGCCAGGAGATCGATCATGCAGCAGTAGTGCTGCTTGCTCGGCACCAATCCAAAATCCAGACTCATGGACACAAAGCAATCCCTCCCTTGCTGGACCTTCCCGCCGTGGCCGCAAGCAATGAGCGCGAACACGATGCTGACGTCGTCGGGCGAGAAGAGCATCTTCATCTGGCCGTACACGTCAGCGGCTATCGAGCGGTCGGATTGGACATACGTGGCGAGAAGTGTGGTCCACGACGCGGCGTCAGTATCGGGCATCGTATCGAACAAACTCTTTAACTCAAGAAAATGCCCTGTAGCGGCATTTGCTGCCAAGAGGATATTCCACGACACCTGGCTGTGTTCTGGCATATTCAAGAATAATTTTCTTGTGTGCTCTAATTTTCCTGATTGATTGTATCCGGCCAAGAGAATATTCCATGAAGCGAGGCTCCACTCTGGTAGGCTGTAAAACATTCTCTCCGATTCCTCTAGATGCCCTGAACAAGCAAATGCCGAAAGCATAGAATTGTTAGAAATGATATCTTTGGGCAGAATTTTGTCAAAGAAGTCCTTTGCGGCTTCAAGATTTCCAGTTTGAGTATAAAGATTTAGCATCAATGTCAAAGAGACGTTGCTGTGAGCAGGCATTTGATAAAAAAAAGAGTTAGCCTTGCCAACATCTCCACTTTCGGCATAGCCAGAGAGCATGACGTTCATTGCCACCAGATTTCGTTGTGGCATTTTGTCATAAACCTCAATAGCTTTGACAAGATCATTCTCTCTTACGCAAATTGTAAGAATTGACACCCAGGAGATTAAATCCGCCTCTGGCATTTCCTTGAAGAACGCTTGCGTCTGAGAAAACATTCCTATATGAATATGCGCTCCAAGCATTGCGTTCAAACACACAAGATTCCACTCAGGCATCACATTAAACACTTGTATTGCATTGCTTAAATCCATCACCACGACATAAGCCGTGACCATACACGTCCATGACACGAGATTCCTTTCCGGCATGGCTTCAAAGATCCTCTCCGCTTCCCGAATATACCCAATCTGGGCATATGCGTTCAAGACACAAGTCCAAGAGATTAGATTCCTTCCAGGCATCGAGGCAAATATCTCTTCCATTGCCGGAATCAAACCCTCTCGCGCATATGAAGCTAATATTCCATTCCAGGAAACCATGTCCAGCAGAGGCATGACATCAAATATCCTCTTCGCATATTCCAGATGCCCATTTCTGGCATATGCCGCGAATATGGCGTTCCACGCCACGAGGTTCCTTTCGGGCATTCCATCGAATATCCTGCGGGCGCGCTCCATTTCGCCCACCCTGGAATACGCAGTCAGCATCGAAACCCACGCGCATTGTTCTCTTGTCGCTAACACGGAGAGCATATGCCCCCCGGCAGGACGAATATGCGCCACCTTTAAATCCCGGTGCCACCCGCACGGGTGCACGCCGGGATCCGTGGCAGGATCCGCGGCGATGCTCCCATGCCCGCCATGGGCATAGATATATCCCGCAATGCCCATCATGAGCCATGACACGACGTCTCAACCAGTCGGCGGTTCAATCCTCGCTGGGCGGCGTTTAAAAATGGTCAAGTTGGGAGGGAGATCATTTTCATACAGTTGGAAGAAAGCAAGAACTCTTTGTCTTCCTTCAACACCGAAGGAAGTAAACAATGAAACCAAGCAAGGAAAAACTTAGATCAATCAGTCCAATCCCAACAACGATCCAATTCCTTGGAGAAGAATAGAATTAGTTGGCTTGATTTGTCAAAATGCCCGGGAAAGGGATTTTGGGGTCACGCACACGTGTGCCCAGCGCACGTACATGGGCTGTTGGTGGCTGGCATTGGGATTTATGACCTAACTTGACCTAATTTGTAAAGCTTTGTCGCACACGTGGGCCACCCGGCCGCTTGGTCCGCCGATAATCTTTCTCTTTTGAAATGAATGGATTGATCGCGAGCGAGCGAACCCCATGTGTTGTAACGTGCAAGTTTTACTATAATCTATCCAATTTACCGATTCGATCAAGCCATTCATTTGAGAAGTGTAGCACCGGATGCGATAGACAAAACAAATATATGCCATCTTGACTAGTCCAAGATTCTCGAGCTTGTGAATGTATTGCTATACTAATATATATACATTGTTTTAGATCTTTTAAGGTCGCACTAAGAAGCACTACTATACTAATCGCGATAAATTTAATCAAGACATGCTCTTGACAATGTTGGAGGGCGGGAATATTAACAAGACCCCATGCAGTGGACACGCTAACGTGTTGTTAACGATCTCCAGAGCTGCGGGGCAACGAAAGGATGCGTAGATTATAGAGCTCCATGCGTCCAAGTCATCGGCAGCGATGAAAGTCTTGGAATCTCTCAACATCTTTCCTTGGGCATTGAATGTGCGCCTTGCATAGTTTGCGCCCTCGCGATTAAACAAGACGTCCTCGCGATCAAACAACGATACTGGCAAAAAAATTGCTACTTTTACAAAGATCATGTGATCGCTGATTTTAAGTGTCTCTTTCTTTTCCAGCAAGATTTTCAGATGCATAGGAGAGCGTCCCGGCTCATTATATATGATTTCTTCCTCCCCACACACAACACGGCTCAATCAATCACAGGGACAAAAAGTAAACAGTAAAATAGTGGACTTTTTACCAGCAGATGCGGTACAAGGCTACAGGCTAGCCCAGATATCTACGTGTACTCGGATCAAGGAGGGTAAAAACCCAAAAGTGCATGGAGAGTGAATGCCTCTCTCTCTCTCTCTCTCTTAAACTCTCCCCAAGTTAAAGAGTGAACCGCTCACGTCACTGGGGAGGCGCGTATGAAAATACGTACGCGAGATGTCTAGCGTAGAGATGGAGATGGGTGGGGGATCGATCAGAAATTTGGCAATGCCAGCAGGTGTTCTTCGGGAGTTGTGGATGCTGTCGGTAGTTCCATTTGGACCGGCCTTGTGGACGTGGGGCGGCCAGTCCAATCCCACTTACTCTCTTCTCTCCTCCATTTTTTTTTCTCAGTTTTTTAGTGGTATTTATATAATAAATAAATTATGCGGGATGAGGTTTATGGGGTATATTCTTCCGGGGGGCGGGAGGAATATACCGCGCTCTGGCCAAAAGCCTGGGTTTTTGGGGTCAGGCTGGGCGAGTGAGAGAGCGTATGTTGATGCCCGTGTGCAGGTGCAACAGCAGACAAGGCCAACTCCGCGCATTCAAAAGGTGGACACACACGCAACTTTTGCCCGTGCTCTCACCACACAAAAAAAAAAAAAAAGAAAAGAAGAAAAAGAAAAGATATTTAGGGAGCTTTTGATCTCTAAATTCGTTGTTATCGTGATTATATTGTGCAAGTTTCACTTTGCAGAAGAAACATAATCCCACAATGCAGATGATGCGGCAAAATCCCGTTCTTGCATCCATGCAATGTTTCAAAACTTACATAATCTCTGATAACCTGCATTTGCATATTACTTTTCAGGTTTAGGGTTTATGGTTTAGGAGTCTAAATGTTCCGATTTCACTCGCCAGACAGAATTTGCCGTGTCGCGGCATTTGGGCACCATGTCGGCTGAAACCCTCTGTCTTTTGCGTCATCGGTTATCCACAGCCCCTCGTGGCTGCGTCTCTCAGTTAGGGTTTATCACCTTTATTTTTATATTTTTAGAGCCAGCGCTTTGTTTATATATCTATCACAAACTTCTGTACAAATAAGTCTCTGTCTTTGCCATGTGCTTCCTGCCTGTCTCTCCAAACTTACACCACCTTCTTTTCCCCTCCTCTTGTCAATCCTCGCCTTCTTCTCGGGCGTTCTTTTCTTTTTCCCCAGCCGTGGATCGATCCATCGATTGCGTCTCGATCTTCCGTGCGGCGAGAGGAGTGAATGAGGGCACCGCCACCCCGATCAAATTCGTGTTCTTGTGATTGTCCCTTTGGAACCCAAGGAATAAGCTCTAGCGGATCAATCAGTCGAAAGAAAGAGAGAGGTAAAGAGAGAGAGAGAAAGAGAGACATAGAGAGGAATGATCCTTGAGATCACGAGATGATGACGAAGAGGGTTTTCGGGAAAGGATCTGGGCGTGGCTGATCGCGATTATAAATGCAAATCCCAATGTCGGGGGACAGGGGGGGATTGGGGGTCGTTTTCTGGGATCAGCCTCGCACTGAGCCGCGTCGTCACTAGCTAGCTTCACGAAACAAGGCTGTGAAAGTGCCTCTTCTTCTTCTTCTTCTTTCTCTTCTACTTGGAGAGAGAGCTCTTCACTTCACTCCCTTTCTCCTTTGGCTCCTTGCTCAGAGCTTTGCTCGGCCAGAAGAAGAAAGAACACGAGGAAACGATCAATCCCAGGCCTAGTGGACTGGAAAAAGCGAGGGTGTAGAGAAAGATCGATCGTGCATTTGGGGGATTCCGTCAGGAGCTTGCCTGATAGACAGGCTCTGCGTTTGTTCTTGTGCCTTCTTTCCGCTCGAGGAGCTACCTACATTGGCTGCGAGGAGATTGGGAGGGAGATAGATTGGAAACAGCGGTCCTATGGAGGATAGGGAGATGGGGCCTGTAGAACGCACACGAAAATGCCCCATCCTCGAGCACCACCAACAGGCGAGTAGCAGCAGCAGCGGTGGAAGCTTTGGATTTCCAGCGTCGCCAGTGTGTTCCCGGCTCAATCTCTTGCTCCTCATCAGCCTCGCGTCGCTGCTGCTCCAGGTTCCCGGTGCCTACGCCACCCGAGATTTGGATCATCGCCCAGGTACACAACACTGCTCTTTCTTCTCGCTTCTCTCGGGCGATTCGTCGCCAATCGCGGCGCTCGAGCCTGCCCCGGGCAAGAGCACCGCGAGCGGCGAAGTGGGCTGTCAAATGCCCCCTTGATTGGCACCAAAATGCGTGCCAATTTCGCCCCAGAGCACGAGAGAAAACAGAGCATCCCCTGTTCTATGTGTTCTTCGCTAATTCTTTTCCTTTTGCTACCTAGCAGATGATCGATCTCTCGTGGGCCGCGCCACTTCACTGTCGCTCCAGCAAGAAATGCAAGCGCTGCTGTCCTTCAAGGCCTCGATCGTCGCGCACAACCCCGGGAAGAGCTCGATCCTCGATGGCTGGAACCCTAGCGATGGCGATCCCTGCAAGTGGGGTGGGATCCAGTGCAGCCAGGGGCCCGAGGGCGTCCACGTCACAGCCATCGATCTCTCCTCCAACAATCTCGCCGGATCCATCCCCGAGGGCCTCGCCAATCTCTCCTACCTCTCCTCGCTCTCCCTCGCGCTCAATTCCTTCTCCGGCCGCCTCCCAGGCGATCTCTCCCGCTGCTCCAGCCTCGCCGAGCTCGATCTCTCCAGCAACCAGCTCCACGACACGATCCCGCCATCGCTCCTGGACGAGCTGCCCTCTCTCGCCACCATCAATCTCGCCTACAACGATCTCGTGGGCGGGATCCCCGACGAGTTCTTCTCGCCCAGATCGTGCGCCAATCTCCAGGCGCTCAATCTCTCCAGCAATCCCGGCCTGGGCGGGCCCCTGCCGGGATCTCTCAAGAACTGCCGCGCGATCGAGCTCCTCGACGTCTCAAGCTGCAATCTCACAGGATCACTCCCAGACGACACGATCGCGAGGCTGCCGCTCCTCTCCAATCTCGTCCTCCGCGAGAATGGATTCGTGGGCGAGGTCTCGCCGGAGTTCTTCTCCAGCTGCCAGAACCTCGAGAGCCTGGATCTGGCGCTCAACAATCTCACTGGAGACATCCCCGCCCAGATCGAGAACTGCAGCAAGCTCGTCAATCTCGCCGTCTCGGCGAACAGTTTCCACTCCCTGCCGCGGGAGATCGGCGGGCTATCGGCGCTGGAGCGCCTCCTCGCGACGCACAACGGGTTCACGGAGCTCCCCGCGGAGCTGGAGCGGTGTTCCAAGATTAGGGTTCTTGCGGTGAGTGGGAATTCTCTCTCGGGGCCACTGCCTGGATTCATCGCCAAGTTCTCGAGCCTGGAATTCCTGAGCGTCTACACCAATCGCTTCGTGGGCGCCGTCCCGGCGTGGCTGGGCGGGCTGCGATCGCTGCGGCACCTCGACGCCAGCAACAATTTGTTCACGGGCGAGATCCCGGTGGAAATCTCCGGCGCCAGCGAGCTCCAGTTCTTGCTCCTGGCAGGGAACGCGCTCAGCGGCGAGATCCCTCGCGAGATCGGCAGCAAGCTCCTCAATCTCCAGGTGCTGGATCTCTCCCACAACCAAATCTCGGGCAGGATCCCTCCATCGCTGGGCAACCTCAAGTTCTTGCTGTGGCTGATGCTCGCGAGCAACGATCTGGAGGGCGAGATCCCGGCGGAGCTGGGGAATTGCAGCAGCCTCCTGTGGCTCAACGCGGCCAGCAATCGCTTGTCGGGATCGCTGCCGGAATCCATCGCCTCCATCGGGAGTGGCGTCAATGCGACCTTCGCGCTCAACGCAAGAACCCTACCGCTCATCCCCAAGGGCATGGGCGAGTGCGAAGCGGTCAGGCGCTGGATCCCCTCCCAGTACCCTCCCTTCGATCTCATCTCCACGGTCATGACGGTCGAGCGCTGCCGGAGCTTCTGGAATTTGCTCCTCCGCGGGATCTTCATGTATCCTCTCTGCCCCAGCCGCCCATCCGAGGAATCCATGGGCTACATCCAGCTCGCGAGCAATCGACTGACAGGACCCATCCCAGGGACGCTGGATCGCTGCCGGCATTTGGGGCTCCTCTTCCTGGATCAAAACAACCTCACTGGATCCATGCCCCAGAGCTACTCCATCGCGCTCACGGGGCTCAATGTCTCGCGCAACGCCCTCTCCGGATCGGTGCCGCGATCGATCGGCGCGCTCTCCTGCGTGGTGAGCCTGGACCTCAGCTACAACAATCTCAGCGGGAGGATCCCCAGCGAGCTCCAGAACCTCTCCAAGCTCAATCGATTCAACATCTCCTACAATCCAGAGCTCGTCGGCCCAGTCCCAAGCGGTCAGCAATTCTCCACCTTCGGCCCCAGCGTCTACGAGGGCGATCTCAAGCTGTGCTCCTCCTCGTCCAGCGTCATGGGGATGAAGAACCCTAATTCTTCCCTCCCATCTTGCGGGAAGCTCGGCGATGGCGGCGGCGATGGCGATGGAGGCGGCGGCGGGGGCGGATTCCTCCCGCGGAGCTCGCGGATCGCGGTGGCGACGGTGGTGGGGATCAGCCTGGCGTGCACGCTGGGGCTGATCGTGCTCGCACTGCTAGGGTTTTGCCTCCTGGGCAAGGCGGCGCCGCCCGGGCCCGGTGGCGCCGCCATGGACTTCGTCATGGTGGGCGGCAAGGAGCACCACCGCCACTTCGCGCCGGATCACGCCGCCGCCGCCAGCGTCCAGGTATCGCTCTTCTCGGTGGAGCTCCCCAAGCACCTCACGTACTCGGACCTCGTCTCCGCGACGAGCAATTTCGACGAGACGAATGTGGTGGGCAGCGGTGGATTCGGCATCGTCTACAAGGCCAAGCTCGCGGATGGATCCACCGTCGCGATCAAGAAGCTCATCCAGGAGGGTCCCCAGGCCGATCGCGAGTTCCTGGCGGAGATGGAGACGCTGGGTCACCTGCACCACGAGAACCTCGTCCCGCTGCTCGGCTGCTCCAGCTATGGCACCCAGAAGCTCCTCGTCTACAAGTACATGGAGAAGGGATCGCTGGACGACTGGCTCCACGAGAAGCCCGGAGGAGCGCAAGCGCTAGAGTGGCCGATCCGGCTCAACATCGCACTGGGGATCGCGAGAGGATTGAAGTTCCTCCACCACAATTGCTCGCCGCCGATCGTCCACCGCGACATGAAAGCTAGCAACATCCTCCTGGACGACAACTTCGAGCCGCGGCTCACGGACTTTGGGCTGGCCAGAGTTCTCGGAGCGCAAGAGACGCACGTAAGCACGGTGGTGGCCGGGACGCTGGGCTACGTACCGCCGGAGTACTGCCAGACGTGGAGGGCTACCGCGCGGGGCGACGTTTACAGCTTTGGCGTGGTGCTGCTCGAGCTCGTCACCGGGAGGAGGCCCATGTCCATCTCGTTTGGAGGCGAGAACAAGGATCACGGGTGTGGGAACTTGATCGAGTGGTCGGCTTACCACGTGAAGAAGGGGATCGCGGCGGAGGTTTGCGACCGGATCGTGCTGCGCTCGGCGGCTCCCGGGGAGCTGCTGGCGTTCCTGCGGCTGGCGGTGGTGTGTACCGCGGAGCTGCCCATCCGGCGGCCGACGATGCGGGAGGTGCTCAAGGTTTTGGAGGAGATCAAGGCGGGGAACTACGCAGCGATGCTGCAGGGATCATCGCAGGGGGGTCACCAGTTTCGGTGAAAGTGTATGGTTTTAGATCGAGCAGGGCTCCCGGTTCTAGACGATCAATCAGAAGACTCTACGAGGCAGGTTTGATGATCGAGCTCTTGGAGATGGATACCTTCTTGGCTTCCATCTCTCCCAGAGATCAAACTTTTATCTCCCAGCAACAGGCAAAGATCGAGCTGGATCTCCTAATCCGATCGATCGAAACAAGCTGTGGGAAGTTTGACCATTCCTTTCCGAGTGGAAAGAAAGGTGGCGGATCCAACAGACAGTATATATCATCAGGACGACGGACGCTGCAGCATTTAGAAGTTGACGAGACCAGTAGAACCAACACCAACTTGAATGACAACTTCTACTACTTGGGCTTTTAAGAGTGTTAAATTATAATCCAGGGGAAGATTTCTAGACACCTCAAGGAACGAGTTCCTTTTTGTCCTTCGCTTTTTTCTCTCTTTGAAGCTCGAACCCTGCAATGCTCTCTTGGTACGAAGAAAAGAAACAAAAGCAAAGGAAAAAACACTGACACGGTGACTCAAAATCAAGAGAGCTCGAGACGAGCACCTGCTCACCAGTGTCCAAGATCATAGTTATAATCTTCGAAAAACAGCAAGTTACGAAGAACTGGGAGACGAAGCTCCTCCAAATCTTTAGTCCAGCCGGTCGTGCATAAACCCCGCTTTAGCGAGTTTCTTCTTGTACAGCTCCACTCTGACATTCACCTGTGGAGCTTCTGCACCCGATAGCTGCCAAATCCAATAGCTCGTCTCATCCTTCCTCGTCGCTATTCCCAAGTAGCCGTCTGTCAACAAGCCATAACACCACACAATTCGCACACAAACAAGAACCATTGAAAGACATAAACAAGAAACACTCACCACGAGAGAAAACAGCACCCCCATCAAGTTTTGCTCCACTGCCGACACCGAGATGAGCGCACTTTTCCTTGTAGATGTCCGCAATCTTCAAGCCAGAAGGAAGCTCCACCCACTGCATTTGTCCCCAGTGAGCTTCCAAGTCTCCAGCCTCGTTGCAACCGAGTACTACGTGCTCGCCAAGGTCACGAGAGAGCGTATCCACGCATGTGATGCTGGGAGTGATGCGGTCTTCCGTCACAAGCACTCGCGCTCCTGCTGCTGGATCGCCACACATCTCATAGGCCTTAAGCACGTAGCCAACAGTACTCTTCTGCTGGGACCTGGGGAACTGGAGTTCAAGTCTCTGAAAATCTGCCAAGCCGTCTCTTGCCACCACCGCACAGGCATTCCCGCCAAGATGGACTGCTAGATGGCCATACTGATCGAATCCGACGACAGCTTCAGCTTTGGCAGCTTTCCAGATGCGCTCCCATCCAGCATACCACCCATCCACGATCTTCAGGACGGGTTCTTCCTGCACAAAAGAAAAAGAAAAGTCATGATCTATGGTACTAACTATCTGTCTATCTATCTATCCATCTGTTGTTTTTGGTCTCGTGGTGCCCATCTTGAAGCATGAGACATATGAATGCACAAATGCACAAGTGAGAAAACCAAAAGTTCTTACCTTTGAAAAGCCTCCCAAGATCTCCTCCAAAGAAGGCTGTGGAGGTGGCGCTTGAGACTGGAGCAGCTGCTCGAGCTGCCTGGAGAGTAGCTTCTGCTGATCATCAAGCCGTCGAACATGGTTCTCCAGCCTACGAACATGGTCTTCTAGCCTATTTTGCTGCTGAAGTTCCTCTGAATTATCCTCCCTTCCTACGTTTAGTCGAATGTCATCCTACACAGAAAGAAACAGGGCCCTCGTTAGGGGACAAGAGAGAGGACGAATGGTAGAGCGCAGCGGGGATGCCAAAGAGATTCACCTTGAGGAGAACGCCGCCCTCCATTCGCGCTGTCGCCCAAAACCAATAACTTGCTCGTCAACTTTAAAAGGCCTTCAAACCCTAGCCAAGATAACTTGCTCGTCAACTTTAAAAAGGCAAGGAAAAATTTCTGACAGCCTTTTTTCCAAGTTCCTTGTCGCAAATCTCGCTCGGTGGTGTGAGCGTTTAGCGAGGGCAGGCTTGCTCCCCAACTATATGGGAGCCCCAAAACAAGTCTCTCTTGAGTTCCACGACAATTAAACACGCCATCTTTGGTTGAACCAGAAACAAAATCCATGGCTGTTTCGTCGTCATTTTCTGCTGCGACCTGCTCAAGCCATGAAAGCAGCCACGACAGTCTGAGCATCAGTCAAAAGATTGGTGACAAGAGAAGATCCTGGAACTTCTAGCTGGTTCATATTATAAAATAGGGAAATACAACATACATTGAAATTCTTTAGGGCTTCCCAGCATTCCTATGAACAAAGCCAGACACGAAAACACAGCACTCATCATCATCACTTAAGCCAATGTTCATGCCGATGAGAGCTCTAGAGTCACTAAAAAGCCCACCACCGCATCCAGAATCACCCAAAAGATGTCCGGTGTCTCGCCCCCTCCACTTGGTGTCTCGCAAATCCTCATTATACCGGTAGCCGAGGAGAACGTATTCCATGCCTTACACTGGGAGATCCACCTCCGGGTAATAACGGAACTCGCCAGTCCTCCTTTTATAGAGGATGATGTCGGACTTGGGAGCGACCGCTTTAACTTTGAGATCAATGCTATCTTGCTCCTCATCGCCAGCAGTGAGTGCTTGCTTGAAATGGAAGATCTCTCCGACTTGTGCTCTTGAGTGTCCGTCGTGCCAATATGTAATCACATATTTGGGAGCGATCACAGTTGCTAGTTCTTGATCCCCTTCACCTCCCACGAGAAGATATTTCTTACATCGCTCAACGAATCTATTAGCCATGGAGAATGCACAAAAGAGATAAGGAGAAGAATGGAAAGAAGAAGAAGCAAAAGAGCCAAGTAGAAACTTGTGAGAAGAAAAAAGCTACTTAGAAAAAGTTGAAGCAAATAAAATGGAAATGAGGAGCAAGAAAGAGCTATGAAAAACTTGTATTTGAAATTTGAAAGTCGTGTCTATGTAATAAATGAGTACAAAACATCAATGATGCACAATGGAAAACATGCAATCAAGAAGGACGTAGAGTGCAAGGAGATTCAGGACGTGCTTGTAGCAGTTTCGAAGAAGGGGTAGAAGAAGCCGCAAAAAAGAAAAGGAGGTGCAATAGGACTTTGGGGCTGCCCTCATAATGTTGATCTACACTGGGAAACAATAGATAGACAACATGGGCATCACTGAGATCTACAAGATCATCACAGGAGATCCAAAGAGCACATAGCTAAAGTTATGGTGCTCACTTGGTGCTATGCAGCTTGCGTCTCAACTTCGAAAATGAGACATGTTGAAGGGTGGTAGACATGCAACAATGAAATCATCAACAACTGCAATAAGCTTCTCTCAAAAAATGGTAAATGACAAAGGCTAGATCTCAACAGTATACCCAAAGGAGGACACTTACATTATCTTTTAACAGATCTGCACATCTAAATTCAATGTTATCTATCTGGATTGACTGGCATGACCCGCCCTTGGGACAAGAAGAAGGGGTTAGGTCCCATCTTCACCTCATAGAGTAAGTAAAATAATGCAATTCCTCTTATATTAAGTTAAATTACTATTGCGGCACAGCTCATATTCCCTATTGGTGGGTGAACAATTTAGCACCTCATGAATTTTGCTTCACAATGATAGGAAGAGTTGATGTTGAAAGATCAAAAAGCAATGCCACTATGAACACTTTGGCTGCCACAAGCAAATTATCCCTACAGTAACTTTCTTAACACCTTTAGAAACTCGGAAATATAAAAGGATCATAGGGCATGCTTTCACAATTTGTATATATGCTGAAAATCAAAATCAAATGAGATTTTACTAAGATTTCTAACAACAAGCTTTGATTAGTGAAATCTCAACAATAACTTCTTTGATTTTTGCAATGAGGAGGTTTTATCTTTATTTGACAAGGAGAAAAACTTGCTCCAAAGGTAAGAAATCAGCTGTGATTTCATGTGCTGCACAACCCCAGAGAAGGGGGTCATTTTAAATATCTTTTGTGTAACAGGAAATACCTTGATTGCAGCTGCAAACAATGGTGGACACATTCTGACCCTGGAGTGTGATGCAACAATGATCCTGCAGATCACAAGAAGTAAATTGAAAAATGAAGATATCTAGAGCAAGAAGGAAAGCAAGGGAAAGAACATCAAAACAACACCCGAAGATTTTGACAAAGAGAAGATTGCATTAGGAATCAGATTTTTTATTTTGTAATTATGTTTTTGATAGATCTCCCAACAACCTATGAATCATGTTATGGTTCTGCTAAATTGTAGCTCCTTCTACAAGCAGGCACCTTAAATCCTTGAGCCCAACCCCAAAATCTTTGATTCTGCCACATCATCCTTCCAATCCAACTTCCACTAAAATACATATATATATAAATTAAAAGAAGAGATATAATACCTAGGATATACTTAGAATATTCACTGATGCTTTAGAGATTTTCACCTTAAAGTTGGAAATCCTCCTGTCAAGTATCCAGCACTAGTGAAATTGGAAGAATCTGTATCCACAAAATGAGATTAATTTTTTGCATAAACATTTAAGTTTAATATTTAACTAATTATTTAAATACTATTTTTTAAAGTGTAAAAAATAAAAATTTATTGCACATTACATGCAACAATGCTTGGTTTGCTCAATAATAATTTCACTTTTATTTATTAATTCAAAAGTTTATAAACATAAGATTAATATTATTATATATCAACTAAAATATACTGGAAAGTGTTTAAGAAAGTTTATGAATTATAAATACTAATAAATAACAATGGTTAAAGTCAATAATGTATGGCAAAATTATAGAAAACCCCTGTTCTAGGGTTTTGCGGTAGGGCTCTTGTTTGGAGGTATTGGATGAGATCGATCAGGCGTGGGCGTTATGCAAGAGATGGCATTGTTTACAGCACCAGTGGTTTTTTCCGTCCTAGGATGGCCCTTGATTTACAGCATTGCGGAATGTCGCCAAGGTCGCAATGCGCGGGTTAACCTCCCTCGCTGGTGGATCTCATCCTCCTTCTTCTTCCTCACGCCACTGATTTTTGGAATAGCGTTCCAATTCGTTGGAAACGTGGTTTTCCGGATTCCAACGAGCAACGCCCGGCATTCATCGCAGTGTAAAATACTATCCAAAAGTTTGTAGCTCCATTTCTTATTCATCGTTTCTTCTTATAACTTTGTTCTTGTGAATTAGGCGTGGATGTTCGTGTTGCGAAAACCTGTCTCTCAGGTGACTTATCTCCAGTTTCGATCAGACTGTTTGGTATGCCCGACCCTTCGAAATTCCGCTGCTCTTTGGATTACTATTGGGTAGCAGGCCTTGAGGTAGAAAAAATGGAATGGAAGATTGTTCTAAGTTGTTGTTCCCAGGTGGAGTTTAGTATCTTGAATTCGTCCATTCGATCTTTATTCGAAGAGCCCAAAGAGGTTCTTCCAAGTCATTGCAGACCCGTTTTTGCCGAGGTTTGGAGAATAGCGGAAAGTTTCGAGGTAATAGTTTCTCAACTTGTGGCTCTTTTGCGATCTCGTTTCCTTGCAGGCAAACCGCAGCTACCGTTGTATCCATACTGATAAGACCATTTATTCTATAGATGGTATAGGACTTCCATCTCAAGATCGCTGTAAGCCAGAATCACCATCCACATTCAAGCTTCTTCGGGACTACATCGTACTGTAAGCAAGCGGCACGAGTTGTTTACAAGTTCCTCACCTTGTTGTTTGTGCTCGTTTGCAGGATAGCAAGTTCCTACAACCTTAAGCAGCCAGCTTCGGCTGGCTATCTGTTCTGGAAAGGAGTTTACGCGCTGTTAGTCGGACTTGCCTACTGCGTAATTCTTACAGGCGTTACGAAGCTCTCATCCTGGTTCCAGTTTAAAGTGGTCGATCCAGGCCATCGCAACTTTATCGACGTCTTAGTTTTTGAAGTGAGATTGCAATTATTGTTCCTTATTGTCTCCATCTCAACAGCTGTGGTTTTGTCGACGATACGACTTGAGCAACTGCGCATTGGATTCCATTTACTTACTGGGATTGATTTCAGATCGAAGACTTTGGGACAGTGGTTGGAAACTATATTCATCTAAAGCAGCCAGTTATTGGATAGACAATTCCAAGGCCATGGTTTGTATTCTAAGTTTTTAACATATGCTCATCGAGGACGGCCGAAAGGGCTCGCGTTTTGTCAAGCTACGAGTCCTGCAGAAAGTTCTCCGTGTCAGAAGTTCTTGGCTATGGTATTCTTGTCAATAGTTCATGAAGCTTATGATTGAGACGTTCACCTTCTTCAATAGAGCCTTTGGAGCTCAGGGGGCTGGCGATATGCTCCTTCTCCGCCAGAACTTGAGTCTTCGTCGTGGTACTTACCATCTCCGTTTCATGCTCAATACTGCTGCTGTCATCGTTTTGCTCCAGTTTCTCGTACTCCGAGAACGTCAGCTTCCTGATTTCATTATAGATGCTCTCCACGTCCAAAGTGGGACTGCTCACCTTCGCTGTGGTTGCTGCGTTCTCTTCCATGAGGTCTTTGGTGATGTCTATCTCGTCCAGAGCGTCCTTGATACCGGCGAGTGCATCATTCTGGGACGAAGCTGAAGATGACGGGGGAGACATGTTGTACTCTCCCGATCGAAGGCCCAGGTAGTATTCGTACAATCCTGGTCTTGGCGAGTGACCCTTTCCCGCAAGTTTTGCAGGTGCTGCGGTGGTACTGGATTGCTTATTGGCTTCAACACCTGCATGCTCACAACTCATTTGGTGTGAAGAGCGTTTGCAAACTCGGCAACTTACAGGAAAGAATTGTTTCAAGGTGAGTTGACGTTCTTAGCTCTTCGAGGTTTTCACTTTGAGTTGACAAGATTTCATCAGTCTTCTCTTCTTTGCCAGGTTCCGGTTCGTTCTGCCAAAAAGCGAAAAAACAGTGATCTATCTATCTGGATGCGATTTCAGTGGCGTACCTTAAGTTGGTCCGGAATTGTGTCGGATGTCTTTTTTTCTTCGTCTCGCACAAGGTCGTGGTGAGTGACAGCTTTTTCCGCTAACTCACTGGTCACTCTCTGCACAATGGCTTTCAGAGCAGCTGCCGCAGACGCCGAAAGCAAATCGCCGTCCTCGTCTCCAACACCGAACGAAGCTCTTGTCGACAGAGCCGGTGATTTGGACGAGGCTCTGCTTCCCGCAGCTGGCGAAGGCGCATATGGCGAGACTTTTCCATTTCTCTCGGATACAGCCGGTGAACTTTTGCTATCTTTCAACGAAGCCAACGAGGCCCTGGACGTGTTTTTGCTCGAGCTATCTGCGGCGATGTCAGCTGGAACGGTCTGGGACTTGAAAACCTCGGGAAGTGGAGCAGGTGAAGCGCTCCTGCTGCTATGTCTCTTGGCGATCTCGGCTGCCACAGCTGGTGAGGAATGTCTACTAGCCTGACTTATAATCTGTGCTGGCGACGGGCTTCTGCTAACATGCCTCCTGAAACTACTCAACAGCTGCCTAGGAGAGGATGCTCTGGATTCTACGTCTGCATGCGCTGGTGATGGTGCTCGAGACGATGCTTTCGACTCTGCAGCAGAATGCAGCACCGGTGCCGGCGACAAACCTCTAGACTCGAGGGTGGTGGTCTTTGGTGATGAACCTCTGCACTCGCAGACCAGTGGCCGAGGAGCGGGCGATGGTGTCCTGCTGCTAAGTCTCCTCAAAGTGGAGTTTGCACTCTCTTCCAACTTTTCCTGACTGGCAACCGGAACTTCGGCCGCAGGTACTTCGGATGGCGGCGATGGAGCTCTTGACGAGGCTCTGGATGAAGCTCTCGACTCGGCGGCTAAGGCTGCCGAGGCAACGAGATCGTCGGGAGGAAGAAGCTCTTGTGAAGCCGCGGCGATCGGCTCAGCGGCAGCAGTGCTTTTCGGTGTGGAGGCTCGGGAATCCGTGACGTTTGGCTGTGGAGCCGGCGATGGTGTTCTGCTAAGCCGCTGTCTCCTCGCCGAGAGTAACGAAGAGGTACTAGTGAAGTTTATATTCACTGCTACATTCCTCTCCTCCAACTTGTCTATCACCGATTGACAGGAGTAGCAGAGTTGGAACTCGGGTGGTGGCGATAGAGCTCTGATCAATCCAGCAGCAGTGGAAGTATCCAAGGCAGGCTCCAGGATCTCGGCCTCCAAAACTTGGGCGGTTTCCACAACCTCGGCAGTGTCCACTACTTCGGCAGTAGCGGAGGAATCCAAGCCAGGCTCGGCGAATTGAGCAGCAGCTGGGAAGTCCCCGGAGTCGAGAGTAGCGGCGGATTGCACGTCACTTCCAAGTTGCGTCGCGATTGAATCGCTCGTAGGCCGGGGCGAAGAACTGGAATCTCTGAAACTCGGGACAATCTGTGGCCGTGGAGCCGGCGAGGGCGATCGAGCAGCGACTTCTTCGTTTCTCTTCGCTGCTGCCAAGGCACAAGAGGTGCTTTTGTTGCAATTCGCCGCTCTCACACTCTGCGCGACGTTCCCTACTGCTGTTTCAGTGCTCTCTTTCGATGCTCCACACCCCATTTTCCACAGAAAAGAAGAATCTTTGCTCTCGCGCTCGCGCTAGAAGAAGATGGCTCCTTCTCCTTCGTTCATCGTGCCCTAAAAACCATAACTAACTATCGCGCGGCATTTTTCTCTTTTGAATGCCAGCCGTTGGATAGGAGCAACGAAAATCTTCCATACTAGGAGAGAGCATATTCTCCGGGGTCACCTACCCACATTTAGAAAAGCGCGCCTTACGGATAGGATTTTTAATCCAACGGTCGATCGCGCGGCGCATTCCGGAGTGCCCGATCGTGCGGCTGGGACGAGCTGACGGTACGGGTACGGCAGACCCCTTCGTTCTGCCGCATCCTCAGTGCTCGAGGCTTTGATCGTCCGTCGCCAGGGAAAGGAAAGCTACCTAGGGCACTGGATCTGGAGCGCACAGCAGCGGCATTGCCAGGGCCAGATCGATCTTGCGCGTCGCGGCGGGCGGGAGTTTGTAGCGCGCGGCCGAGGTTTGTAGGAGAGAGAGGGATTTAGCTGCTAGCGCGCTGTGTTGGCGGGATCTCTCCGGCTCCGGCATGAGAGCGGCATTCTAAGGCTCTAGAATCTCAGCTAGGGCTTTGCGAGCGCGCGATTCTCTTTGTCGGCACTCCCCCGGTCTTTCTCGAGAATCCTGCCATGGCGACGACAACGGCCTCCCCAGAAGCGGCCATAGCGGAGGCGTCGCTAGTGGCGGATAGCGACATTGTCCGAGAGATTGGGCTGGTTCTCAACAGCGCCGACTTGTCCACCACGTCCATGAGCGACATAAGGGCGGTGCTGGAGAAGAACTTGGGGGTGGAGCTCGCCCACAAGAAGGATTTCATCCGGCAGCAAGTCGATGAGTTCCTGGCACACAACACGAGCCTGGGATCCTTGGTCAAGGGCGACGAGGAGGCGAATGCCACTGCTCCGGCGCAGGAGGAGCAGCAGGGCACTGCCGAGGATTCGCTTCCAAACGATCAGGAGCTCGAGCAATTCAGAGAGAACATCGAGCTCGCGATCGAAGACAGGTAACTCTCTTCTTTTCTAGTTTGTTTTGTTTTTCTTTGTTTTGTTCTTTTGGGTTCTTAATGCCGCTCTTGTGTTGCAGTACTCCCAAGGAGAAGAAGAAGCGGGGAGGACTTAACAAGCTCTGCCGTCTCTCGCCGGAGCTCCAGGCAATTATAGGAGAGGAATCCTTGCCTAGGACCCAGGTAGGCTTGTTTTTCTTTTCCTGAAAGCATTTTTTAAGCTTGCTTGCATTGCTCGTCTCGTCGTCAGGTGGTGAAGCAGCTCTGGGTTTACATCCGTGCTCACAACTTACAAGATCCCGAGAACAAGCGGAACATCATTTGCGATGATCCCTTGCGTGAGCTGTTTGGGACGGACCAAACTGACATGTTCCAAATGAATAAGCTTTTATCCAAGCACATTTGGACTATAACTGAAGAGGGTGAGTGTTTTGGCTTTTGCGCGAGTCAAAATGGTGACCACAAAGATTGTTTCCTTGATTGTGCAGGGGCCGAAGATTCGGAGCCCAAGACAAAGAGGCAGAAGAAGGATTCCGGGAAAGGGAAAGCGTCGGGATTCCTTGTCCCATCTCCGATCTCAGACGCCCTCCAAAAGTTTTTTGGTACTGGCGAAAGCGAGGTGACGAGGAGCGAGGTCGTAAAGCGGATTTGGGACTACATTAGGAGCAACCAACTTCAGGTAGTTCTCAACGACAAAACTCTCTCTTTTCTCACTGCTTTAATGTTGCGTTTACTTGTGCGCAGGATCCTACCGATAAGAAGAAGATCCTCTGTGACAATAAACTACAGGAGCTTTTTGAATGCGATAGCTTCTTGGGGTTTACCATGCCCAAGCTTCTGGCCTCGCACTTCGTGACATCCTCCTGACTGACACAACCGGTAAGCAATTTCATCTGCTTTAGTTCCCAGAAACTTTGTCTAACGTCGAGCTTTCCCTGGCAGGTCACAATAAGGTAAAGGATATATACACTATACGTCCTTGCTCGCGAAGCTACAAAACACTCACACAGCAGACAGGAACTCATAGGTACGTGAATCGTGATCTTCCTCACGACATAGTATATTTATAATTGCAGATAGACAGACTTCTGTTACTACTACTGAAGCTTTGTGCTGCTGCTGGTGGCTATTGCTCCTAAGAGAAGCATTTCAGCTCACAGCGGCAGTAGAACACTGACTGTAATTTCTATTAACTTTTGTATTCATTCTTGGAAACGAAAGACTGTCTAGAGGCTCCGGGAAGATAGAAACGATGGATAAGATGCTGGATCTCACACTTTCTGGAGCTGCCAGAGCTGATCAGTCAGCCGATCGGGATGGCAGTCTTGGACGTCCAGAGTGTTCCCGTTTGTGTTTGACAAGCACAGGAAGATGTTTGTGGTAAGAAAACATATAAGTGAACTTCCTATTCGAAAAAAAGCATAGAAGTGAGAATCTTACCACTTCCTTGGGTGCTATTCCATGACGCAGGTAAAGACCGCTCCTTTCATTCATCAGAGCGAATCCAAAGCCACCATAAGCATCCTGGAAGCGGCCCAAACGAAACGATTGCTCCCAGATCTAAACAACAGGAAACGTAAATGTGAGACAGAGAAACGAACAAGAAAGGAAGAACGAAAACCTGAGCGTCGTCCCCATCCTTTAAGTTTGCTAGAATCGCAGACCCATTCTTGTCGATTGAAACAACTTTGGAAGACGTTGAAACGATTCTTAGCTTCTGCGATGACGATACTTCATCAAACACACCAACAAGAAGAAGGAGAAGGAAGAAGACAACCATGCTTTTGCCAAAGGAGAAGAAGCCCTTGTAGAAACAAACACAAGAGAAATGCTTGAGGAAGATCGAAAAGAACTGGCTGCGAACTTGGAGGTGAAACACATTTTGTGTTTGTGTCCTTTGTCCTCTCAAGGACAAAAATATGTGATCGATGGATTTTTCTTACTTCTTAGGAATAAAATCACTCTAAAGTTAAGACAAAAGCGCATTGAGATATGTAATCAATGGATTTTTCTTACTTCTTAGGAACACAATCACTCTAAGCATCTTGTGCTATGCTTGGGCCTTCTTGAGTGAATGTAGCATCCTGTTCTTGTTCCTGGGCTTGAGACTCATCTGGCTTAGACCCATGCTTTGCAGCAGCTTGCACCACTCTGTCCTGCACGGCTGTTGTTGATGGAGAGGTTGCCAACTCCAGTTTACTTGTCCTGGGCTGTCCTCCAAGCCACTGAAGAACAACTCTGAGTGGCGCTTGCAAAACTCTGGACAAAACAAAAAACAATGCAGAGACTTTTAGAGCTGCAAGGGAAAAAAGCTCCATTTCTACCTCAGATCAGCGGCAAAGTCGTCTGCACTCTCGTATGACTCAAGTCGTTGATAGATTAACTACAAAAGAAGCACCGGTTATACAAAATTGTCGCTCGAATCAAATCGTTTTTCGGTTTAACCTGTACGATAGCAATCACTCCAAGCAATTGAAGAGTTTTCTCCCACTCTGCCAAGATAGATGGATATTACCAATGGAGTAATTTCTTTCTTCTTACCAGACAAAGCATAAATAGAAGCAACAGATCCCTGCATTCAAGCAGCGTGATAAGAATAGGATCTTAAGAGCTTGAAAACATAACCACTGACCACAGCTATAGCAGCTATTCCAGCTGGTTTGAGTTCCTCTACAACTGCCTCGGTTTCCTGGCACGACAAATCTTTGTTACCGCACAGCAGGACAACTCGCGTTGAAATACGAACCTCCTTAAGAATTCTGAGTGGTGTTTCTTGTCCTCCAGGCTTTTGTCCTAGGCCGGTTTTCAGCCAGGCAGCAAATCCACCCTCTAGACGATACGATCTCTACATGCAAAATTGCAACGTCAGTGGGAGAGAGAGATCAAACCGGCGATGCCTACTCTTATCCCGACTTTTCTCAATGCTTTTGCAATTTTCTTCGATTGAGTACCATCAGCGTCCATGACAACAACCTTTGAGGTGGACTGTATTGCAGTAAGAAAGAGTTAGAAATGGAGGTTTAGATCCGATTGCTACCCACCGTGACGTTTCTCAAGTTGCAAATCAAGGTTGCTGTTAGCAAGCTATTTACATCATCTGCACTTCTCAAGAGATCTCGCACAGGACGCTCTACCTGAACTGAAATTTGTATGCATCAGGAATAAAGATATATGCATATATATCCGCTTACCTCCAGGCCAGTAATGCTCGCAAGCTTAAATCGAGCTCCTCTTCTGACGTCCGGAACACCATCTCGCTCTTTTAATTCCTGGAGTTTTGGCGACAGAATGAACACCCCAATAATCAAGAGTTTGAGCTAACCTGCGGCCGTACGTCGACGAGCACAACCTTCTCCTTTTTAAGCATGTCAAACACAGTATCTGCCGAAAGATCGCCAGCATAACCACCATACTTCGAGTCCCAAAGTAAAAACCTGGAAAAGCAAGCCACTCGATTTCTTTCAGTGTTGCATTTACAAACTTCTTACCCCAGGTAAGCACTTCCACCTCCAACCAGAAATATCGGAATGATAGGATTTTCGGGATCAATACCCACGGCTTTTTCCAAGCTCACAGCAGCATCAAAAGCCTGTGCATTGTTCCAAAGCATGAACTAGAGAGAGAAAGAGAAATCATAAAATACCTGATGTAGTACTGAACTCAATGGCGCAAAAACGTTTTGCTCCGCACTGCTCAAGGCGTTCTGTACTTCCGATGGCGCAGAGCCTTTCGCTAAGCTGTACACGTCCGACACAGCATGGCCAACTCCTCCAACGCCATTCTTCACGAATATGACGACCTCCTTGAGCGCATTGTTGACGGGAGTTCCAGTCCGAAAGGGACTCGTAAGATCTATCGAAAGACCGGGGGGATTCGACGACGGCTGATCATCAACCTTCTCGCCAGCTCCCTTTATCACCCTCAAGATGGATCCGTTGATACTGTCATACGCGTCCTGGATGGAGTTCTCAGCCTTGTTTATAGATCCTGTGATGGAGTCCCTGATCCCACCGAAGAAGTTCGCGCCACTCTCTTGGATTGAGGACAGTGTGCTCGAGACATCCTCAGCCGCGCCTTTCAACGCATCGGAGGCCTCCTTCGCGGCCGAAGATAATGGATTTCCACCCAGCTCTCCTCCATCCGGTACGTCTAGAACACCACCACCTTGGCTCTCTTCGCCAGGAGCCAATGAAAAGTCTGGTATCAAGTCATCGCCACCTTGGGGTGGTGCTTCCAGCTGAGGAGCTTCCACTGCATCACTGGAAAAAATCCCGGGCTTGGGCAAATCGCTGTCACTGGCAACCTCTGGCAAATCCATCGCTCCAGTCCCAGAAGAAAGACTAGAGGCATCATCTCCTGGAAAATTTGATGCTCCAGCACTGGATGAGACATCATCGGCAAGTACTTCATCGACGAATCTCAAACCACTGCTGTGAATTCCCTTGTTTCCTGGATGAAAGCCCTCCATCTCGCGGCAAGCTTGTCCGAGCTAGAAGCAAGATGACTTACAACGGCTCCATGGGCCGATTCCCAGGAAATCTGCGGATTTAGCCATGAATTTCGTGCTGGACAACGAGCGAGAGAACTTACCTGAGATCCTGGCCCCCGACGCCACACCGGGTTTGTAGAGACTGCAATTCACAGCAGCAGTAGCAGCAGTGGCCATGGCGCATTCTTTTCCTTGCGCCTCAGATCATCGTCCCCATCCCATCGATCGAGGAAGAGCTCGAAAAGACCTCGAAATAAATCCCAAACGCTGACGTGGAGTTTGGTATCTGGCACTGCCCAATAGGAGCCGTGACTACGTGGCAGTTTTCCACACCTACACGAAGGCCGTAGCATACACATTGGCTAGCAAAATGTAAGTCGTTGGATGCCGGGGATCGACGGCCGAGATTAGTCCTGCGGCTCTCTGGGCCCTCTCTTCGTCCCCTTGTACGATACAAGACGAGAGCAATGCTCTCCACGCGACTCCATCGGCCTCGTACGGCATGTCTAGGACGAGTTCTTGTGCTCGATCGATCTGGCCGGATCGTCCCAGGAGGTCAATCATACAAATGTAGTGATCGATCACGAGGTTCACACCAAAATCCTTGAGAATTCCCCGGAAAAACGCGAATCCCTCGTCAAACATCCCGCCATGGCTGCACGCCGACACAATCGACACGAGGCTCGCGAAATTGGGGCCGATTCCTTCGAGCAGCATCCGGAAGAACACCTCTAGCATCGATCCCAGCTCGCCAATTCGCGCGTACCCGTGGATCATCGCGTTCCACGCCGTCAAATCCCGCCTGGACAGCTCCTCAAAGATGGAGCTGGTGAGGGAGATATCCCCACACTGGGCATACATGTTTAGCAGGGCGGTCTCGATTTGGGGGTGGGATTCGAAACCCCGACCTCCCTCTGTGATGCGGCGGTGGATCTCTTTGCCCTGCTCCACGTCGGAAAGATTCGCACAAATCTCCAGCGCCACCGCGAATGTGACTCGATCCGGGGACACATCCATGGCGCGAAATAGCGCCAGCGCCTCATCGTTTCTATCGTCCCCGGAATATGCCGATATCATCATGTTCCACGAGACAACGTTCTTTTGGGGCATTTGATCGAAAAATCTCTCCCTTGCCACGTCAATCTCTCCAAGGTTTATCAATCCCGAAACCATAGAGTTCCACGAAACCACGTCCCTCCGTGGCATTAGATCAAAGAATCTTTCAGCATGGTCAAAGTACCCGTTCTGGGCATATGCCGCTACCATGGCATTCCAGCTTACCAGATCTCGCCCGTCCATTTTCCTAAAGGTAATTTCCGACTGTTCGATCTGGCCATTTTGTCCGTACGCCGCGACCATCACGTTCCAAGAAAATATTGTCCACTTACACATTCTTGAGAATAGGGTTCTTGAGGAGTCCAGGTCGCCATTCTGGGCAAACGCAGCGATCAAGATGTGCCAAGACACAATGTCCGCCTTTGGTAGATCGTCAAAGAGCTCCTTCGCGGCGGCCGTATCGCGCGCCTCGGCCTCGGCGGTAAGAATCGCGTTCCAAGAAACGATGTCGGTCGCAGGAAATCTCTCAAACAGGGCTTTGGCATCGAGGAAGCGGCCGATCTGGACGAATCCGGAGATCGTCGCGTTCCAGGACACCAGATCCCGCTCAGGCATCGCGTCCAAGCAGCGCGTCGCCTGGTCCATGTCCCCGATCGATGCGTAGGCCGTCAGGATCGCGTTCCAGGAGACGATATTTCGGCACGGCATCCTCAAGAACATCGTTCTTGCCCAGTCCAGCTCCTGATTCTCGCCGTAGCAAGTGATCAGGATCGTCCAGGAGAAGACATTGGCCTCGGGCGAGAGATCGAAGAGAAATTTCGCCCGAGGCAGCTCGCCGCTCTCGGCATAGGCAGCGACGATCGCGTTCCAAGACACGACGTTCCTGAGCGGCATCCGGTCGAAGATCTGGCAGGCCTGGAGGAGATCGTCGTGCTGCGCGCACGCTGTGACGATGAAATTCCAGGACGTGACATTCCTCTCCCTCATCGCATCGAAGATTGCCAGGGCGCGGCGGAGATCTCCGCTGTGGATGTAGGCAACGAGCATCGCGTTCCAGGACACCACATCCCTCTCCAGCATCGACGAGAAGATCCTCTCGGCGTCATGGATCTCGCAGCTCTGGGCACAGGCCGTGAGCATCGAGTTCCAGGACACGAGATTCCGGCACGGCATTCGCTGGAACAGCGCCCCAGCGTGGTGGAATCCAGCCGATTGGAGCGTGGCAGCGAGAAGGATCGTCCAGGAATAGACATTGCGATCGATGATCCTTTCGAAGGCAGCGCGGGCGTCTTGGATGCTGCCACAGTCGCCATACATTCTCACCAGGAGATTGCCCAGGTAGGTGTGGCGATCGAAGCCATAGCTGGCGAGATGCCCGTGCAGGTCCCTAGCGTCTTGGAGAGATTTGAGGCTCCCACACTCGCGGATCCTTGAGGCATATGCCTCGATCGTATACATTCTCCAGCTCTTTCTAACCTGAAGTTTATTGGTTATGGTGACCACATGAAGGCTTATAAGTTCAACAGCCTTTCCAGTTCAAAAATCTTCCCCAATCATGATGTGTGAGCCTCTGACTTATCTTACTCCCAGTCTTCCCACAGCCATCGAGCCCCCAGTCAAGTGTCAACAGTTTGTGGCAATTAACAATGACAGAGAAGAAGACAACTCTGCTTCTAGGGTGGGAGCACTTGTAGCACTATTCGGTATTGGAAGTGCAACTCCACTCTTACTACTGGAGGCACTGTGGCAGCTCACAGGTCATGCAGCCTCGGGAGTGCATGACCTAGGGGAGTTAGGCTTAGATGGGAGTACTTAGCATCCTCAACCTCACAGATCTACCAAACTCCACAAGCTCAAGCTAGGGACCATGCCCAGATTGATCCTAGCAACTCCGATGCTTTTTACTATCCTTCTGCTCTTCCAACATTAAAGCAAACCATCCTCAAGCTTCCTCCCCAGTTTTTCAACTACTCTTCTCTGAAGGGCAAGATATTCTAGCCCCCAAGAATTTGCATGAAAGCTTTCTCCAGTCCAAAGTGATAGCAGCGACAGGCAGCTGCAAATTTGGAGTACTCATCCCTGATGGAGAATGATACTTCAGAGCTTGTTGATTTACCCGAAGTTAGGAAGCCAATCAAGATGATGTGAATTTTTCACATGGACAGTAGTATTGTCAAATATAAGGCCAGATTAGTAACAAAAGGTTATTCTCAGATTACAATGAAATGTTCTTTATAGTTGTGAAGATGCCTCCATCTGCATGCTAATTAATCTTGCTGCCCAAGAGCATTCAAAGTGGAGGAGCTTGATGTCACTACACCATTTCTCTATAGCAATCTCAATGAGGAAGTTCATGTTCTTCAGCCAGAAGGATATATTGTCCCAGGCCAGGAGCGCCAGGAGTGCTTAAGAAGGCTTTATATGGACTGAAGCAATCTCCAAGGCAATGGTATGCCAAGATGAATAGTTATCTCCTTTCTATTGGCTTTCTTTAACACTTCAAGTGACACAAATGTCTATCTACACAAGTTTAAAAGTTTGATTTGCTCTATATGTGGATGACTGTCTCCTCTTTGGTCTTACAAGAAAAATATCACAACAGTTTAAACGTGAGCTTCAAGCACGCTTCAAGATGGTGGATCCCAGCCCTGCTTTTTTTTGCTTAGGCATTAAGATCTCAGGCAATGCAGCTCAATTCAGCATTAAGATCTCAACATAAGGATATGGAGGAGATCCTTGCTAAGTTTGCATTAGCTGAGTTGAACCCCCATGGAAGCTATACTCCATCTCAGCATGACACAAGCACCTCAAACACTTGAAAAACAAGAGTAGATATATAGTAGTCTAGTGTCTTTTATGGTGTCTATACACCTATATCTAGTGGTTGCAGAAAGTGGCTAATCCATGTGGAGAGACATGAGTCTTCACTGGTTCATTGTGTCACACATAAAGTTGGTTTTGACTATTTTGAATGGCAATTGATTGATTGGCTGATTGTGGTTATAACCGTGAATGGCCCACTAGTTCACAATTTTTTTTTGATTGATGCTAAAGGGGTATTTGTGATTTTCTTCATAAACATTTAATAAATTTGTTCTTGGACATGAAGAGGAATATTTGAAACACTACATACTTCAATATCATACTCAAAATTTTTTATAAAATGCACTTTAATTCATTTTGGAAAATCACTATACATTTTTCCACAAATAATTAAATCTCCAATGCTCAACTCTTTTGCGGGAAGCATAAGCAAACCTCCAATGCTCAATTCCTTTACAAAAAGCATAAGCAGACAACTTGGCAACATGGGACCATACCTAATCAAGTGCCATTGTTTAACTATGTTAGAATTGCTAGATGCTATTGTTCAACTGTGCTAAATTGCTAGAATCCAATTGTTGCAATCGCTAGAATTATTTAGGGCACAATTTAAGTTTTTTATTTTTCTCTGAACGCATTCGGGCAGTCAAGACCAACAGTACATATGTACATTTCCATTGTACGGTTTCATCTTTCGTTAGATGGTATTGGAGCAATGCCTAGAGAGCGAGAAGAATTCGAAACCGTAGGATCAGAGCAACACTTGCTAGGGTGAATCAGGGCCTCCGTCTACGTAGACAGAGGCATGCCCTAATCAAGTGCTCTTAGAGGCACTGGACGACTAAGAACCTGGACCTAGACTTGAACGAGTGGTGGGATTGGGCATCTGGCAGCCATTGTTCCTACAAATCTGCCTCCAAATCCACCACCTCAAATCTGACTGTGCACCAAATCCCTTCAACATCCTATTGCATTTTTCTATAGAAGCAGCTTCATGCACTCGTGATGGCTGAAGGGGACGACCTCAAGGATCATCTTGCTGCTGTGCAAACAATCCTAGATGATCTGAAGGATGGGGAAGCAAATATAGAGGATGAAGAAGAAGCAGAACTGGTGCTCATCACACTTCCTCTATCCTTTATGCTTGCTCCCACATCCTTAAGATCATTTAGGATTGTTCGCACAGCAGCAAGATGATCCTTGAGGTTGTCCCCTTCAGCCATCACCAGTGCATGAAGCTGCTTCCATAGAAAAATGTGATGGGATTTTGAAGGGATCTGGTAAGCCTGTTTCATGACCTCCCATGCTTCCTTTGCACCCTTGCAATGCAATGGAATTCTCGCCCCTCCAGCACTGCGTGGAATTTGCCCAAGGCTCTCTGTTTCATAGATGACTACAGTCGTCACACTATGATCTACACTATGGCTCGCAAATCCCGATCGTTACACTACTTCCAGACTGGGAGAAACACAAACTGGGAAAATGCTTAAGCGATTGAGAAGTGATGATGGAGGCGAATTCACTTCCAATGCTTTCAACCAGCTGTGTGAGCAAGGTGGGATTGTGCGAGAACTTACAACGCGAGAGACTCCACAACAGAATGGCGTAGCTAAGCACAAGAATCGCACGCTAGTGACTTTCCAGTGGTTTAAGCTTCTGGTTTCACGCTGTCTTGACGGCGAACAACCGGCTCCCCACCTCTGCGCTCGCTGGCATCACTCCTGAAGAAGCATGGAGTGGCAACTGGCAAGAACCTACAGTTACGCATCTGAGAATATTCGGGTGTGAGTGTGATGGAATGCGCAAGAAATTGGACCCCAAGAGCCAGCAGGCTGTGTTTGTGGGCTACAGCCTCGATCACAAAGCCTATCGTCTCTGGAATCCAATCACGAAGCAGGAGATCCTGAGCAGAGATGTGGTTTTCAACGAGAATTCGTTTCTTCCTTCCACATCCAGACCTACCCTGACCGAAGAAAATGACGTTGAAGCGGAACAAGACCAGTTGACTGTCGGCACGATCACTGTGCCGCTACGCATCAACCCGCTTCTACTCCAACACCACCAATGCCGCCGCCTCCTCCAAATCCTCCACGCAGATCGATCCGCACAAGGCGGCCTACTGAGCGTCTCATCGAGGCAATGGTCTCATCTCGTGCAGCTGGGACTCCTACTGTTCCGAGGGCCTATGGAGAAGCCATGGCCTCACAGGAAGCGTCTTACTGGCGTGTAGCAAAGGAAGCCGAGATTTCTTCACAGCACAAGAACGAGACACATGTTCTTGTTCCTACTGTGCCTTCCAATTGCCAGGCGCGATTGGTGGCGAAAGGATGCTCGCAAGTTCCTGGACTTGACTACAACGACACCTTCGCTTCAATGGTTAAGCATTCTACTCTTCGTTCCTTGATTAATTTTGCTGCGGTGGGAGACTTTGATCTGGAACAGATGTGACCACGGCGTTTCTTTATGGCGAGCTTGAAGAAGAAATCTATATGGCACAGCCAGAAGGATTTCTAGCCGCTGGAAAAGAGGATCATCTCTGGCTTCTCAAGAAAGCTGTCTACAGCTTGAAACAAGCACCGGTACAAACGCTTTGACGATTTTATACTAAGTGTGGGCCTTTCCCGTAGCGAGGCAGACCCGAATCTTTATATTTGGGTGGACGGTGAATCATTTGTGATCATCGCTCTTTATGTTGATGATACTCTTGTCACCCATAATCATTGCTTACTGTTTCTCCAGGATAAGCGAGATCTTTGCAGCCAATTCGAGATGAAAACTCTTGGCTCCCTACTTTCTTGGCATGGAAGTTGTGCATGATCGCTCTCAACGCATCACCAAGCCAAGTATATAGAAGAGATGCTGGCCAGGTTTTCTATGACAAGCTCTAATCTAGTGGCGACACCAATGGAACCAGGCTGCCAACTTTCCCGAGCCATGTCTCCTGAGACAGAGGACGACAAGAGAGCCATGGACTCCATCCCTTACAGACAAGCTGTTGGCAGCCTCATGTATCCAGCTGTTTGTAGGCGCCCAGATATTTCTTTTGCCGTGAGCAAAGTTAGCCAATTCCTGGCTAATCCTGGATCTCAACATTGGGCAGCGGTGAAACGCATCTTCAGGTACCTTTGTGGTACTACTTACCTTGGATTGTGCTACCATGTTCAAAAAGAGCCCCTCCAAAGAAATAAGAGAACCTTTGGGAGTTAAGGTAAAGTATTTCTCCCTAATTTTTATTTAAGTCCTATTTTATACCACTT